TAGGAGCGAGGAATTAGTGTGTCGTTGGGGAGCGTGGGTAGCAAAGGTGAAGAGAAGCCGTGGAACATCGAGTTGGGGTCCAGACCTCGGCAGAGCTGCCGCATGAGGCACAACACCGACACTAGGAACGGGAACTAGTGCTATTGGTGCGCACTAGTTGAAGTTAGCTGCGCTAGTGGATTCTTGTCATTTCAACGTCACTATCATAAACTACGAACCTTACTCATCACAAGGCATGAGAAACCGCACGTACATGCACGACACGACTGCTTTACCCACAGACCTCGTACTTGTACGCCCCCAAGGGGCTCAACCCGGTGACCATCACAAATAACAGAGCTAATGGAGGTCGAATCGCAACAAGAAACCCTGGAATTTCCTCCGGTGGCTGGTCTTCTCGCTTCAGACCCTGCTAGGTGCCATGGGGGCCTAAAAACTTCAAGCTCGTTTCAGCCTATGCTTCCCGTCAATCTAAGACCTGCAGGACGGGAAGATGCTCGACCTCCAGTGCGCTGGCGTGGTCAAAACTGATGAAAAAAGGGCTATCTCCCTCAGCCTCATTTCTGATTTTTCCTGGTTTTTCCAACCCAAGAAGGTGGCATGCCCATAACGAGAGCAGCAAGCTGTATACATGATGGAATCGAGAGCCGATCAAGGCCCTTTGCTGAACACAGGCCTCGACGACTCTATTGCGCCGTCTCAAGATCCCAGGAACTCCAGAAGCGCTCGACGGGTGTCATCTCTAAGCGTCATTGGAGAAGTTCTGCTTGATTTGCTCATCGCTGTCTCGTGCGCCTACTTCATTGTCTTTGCTGTTCTGGTTTATGCTAGGCGTAACCAGCCTATCGAGCAACCCGGAAATCGAGACTTGATTGAAGCAGCCAAATATGTGAGTTCGGCCATCGCTGCCACCCCGTTGTTTGCCGCTCAGGCACCCGTCCTGGCCAGTGGCTGTTGCTAAACCATCCAGACTCCTACCATTTTCCCCATCTTATTCTCTGCGGTTGTTGCCAAATTTCTGAAAGCTATTGCAGCTGTCAAACTCGAGCATGGCACCTCTGTACTCGCGATCGAATATCTCTTGCAAAGCCGCACTGTCTTTAGCACTTTCATGGCTCCAATTACATTGAAGACCATCAACGTTCTTACGCCCGTGCTGTTCCTCCTTTGGGCACTCTCCCCTCTTGGAGGCCAAGCTGGACTGCGTGTCATATCGACACAGGAATCCTTTTCGAATGCGACTCAGAACTTCACCTACCTCGCATTTGTATCCCCATTCAGCAACAACGGCGTCGGTTCAGCCTCAGCAGAACCTCTTGTCCCCATCAATGCCATCTTTACTGCTGCCATCATTGCCTCGGCGAAGACAAAAAATCTACCCCAAGACCAATTCGGCAACGTCAAAGTACCCGTCTACGAAAGCCTGTCACCGGAAGATGGCACAGACTGGAGATCTGTACCAGAATCAGATGATGTCGAATGGAGTTCTCTCACTGGACTGCCCATCCACAACCTCCCATCAACTGGAGTTTCACGCTTCACCATGAACACTGGTTACATGCTCACTAGCTGTAACACATCAGGCCACGATTGGACTGAAGATTACAGACAGAGCCTGGAGGATTATATAGGCTGGAGCGGTGCCAACTACGCCCTCAGTCCAAACAGGGTCGACCAGTTTGCAATAACAAACTTTACCTTTCGATCTCTTGATCTGTTACCAGCCAGCAGCCCTGCGCCAGAGGGGAAGATTCTCACCGTGGCGAACTGCACAGTCGGTATGAGTTACGTCGAGGTACAGATCAAATGTGACGGTCAAACCTGTCACAGCGTTGCGGTCCGACCCTCACCAAACCCTGCCTCGCACCCACTTAACTACAGCCACAGCGCCCTCAGTGTGACTGACTGGACACCGATCAACGGACTCGGTCAGGAGGATATCATGTATACGCAATTTTTTCCCGATTTCACCAACGCCACGAACCCAACGGTGGGGTGCGACACTGTCTTCTGTCCTCCGAGTGCCATAGAAGCATACTTGGCAGACCCGGCAAATACCGTGCTGCAGACTTCCACCACCAAGCTGTGGGGGTTGGGGGATGACATTATCTCCAAGCGGTTCACACAGCTCATCAACACGTACTGGATAGACAGCATCGCTCCCGCCGCCGTGTCAGGAAACTTTACAGTGGCGCCGCAGAGCAACTTGCTACTGTACAACACGGACAGCACGTTCGGGACAGTCACGACCAGCCAGGTCGTCGTCAAATGCGAATACCCGTGGCTTGCACTCATGCTTTTGTGTTCTATTGTACTGTTCATCATCGGCGTGGCCACGGTGGTGCTGAGTGCGCGTCGTCGCGGGCCTGACATCTTGGACAGATTCAGCTCGCTTCTGAGGGACAACCCATATGCCAATACTGTTCCTCACATATCGTCCATGGAGGATGCCGCGGACCAGTCGAAGCGGCTGGGAGATTTGATGGTTCGACTTGGGGATGTTCGTCCCGAGGAAGATATTGGATACGTGGCGATCGGAGTCCTCGATGGTAAGCAAGCGGTGCAGAAGCTGAGTGTGAAGAGGGATTATGCTTGATTTGGAGAAGCGGACTCTACATATCCGCTACTAATGATCCAGCGTAGAAGGTAGAAGATAGCCCCCGCTATACTACTAGTACTAATTGATGTCCTGCATTCGTGTCGACTATTGCCTCCGTGACATAGGTTCGACCATTTCTGAGCTCATGTTAGTACCAAAGGATGTTTAACAGTGATGGTGATGAGCACCGAGACTCCATGTGATCGCATGCTAGTATCTATGGGAAGGAGGTGATGGTGCATCAGGGGCGACTGCCAGTGGTGCGCGATGCTGTACCTTCTTGCACCGTTTTGAGGCTCGTCAACCGCCAATGGCTCATTACCACTCCTTCAACCTGCATCTCCGTCGAGCCACTGCCGCCGAGAATTCTCGACAACCTGTCCTTTGATGCTTTATCTGAAAGCTGAATGTACCGCTCTAAAGAGAAGAAGAACAGGAGCAGCGAGAGCGACAATTCCAACAGTTGGAGAAGGCGTAGGCTGCGCCCGGGAGAATGGTGTTGATGCACTCCAAGCGACAAACCGTACATTACTATCGCCCTAGGAAAGCTGCACGCGAATCAGTCGTTAGTCCTTTCAAGTTCGTGCCCAATTTCAATCATCAATTTTTAGCCCGGGCGACGCTTGGGCAGATAGCGAACAGCTGAGAGAACAGTGTTTCATTGCCATCGATCGATGGAAGAGCGCTGCAAATCGCTAATGCTTGCAAAGGTATTCTGTTGATCTCGCATACTTCAAGTTGTCATGGGGCTCTTTTAAAACATACTAGTACTATAAGGCAAATCAAAAGGGCAAGAACACCTGGAGAGAGAGCTTCAGATCTACTACGAGCTTTCTCGATCCAACGAAATGTTCGTTGGCAACAAATATAAGTATACTACTTACTAGTACAAAGTACATAGTATTGCGAGAATCAAGTAGTAGTTCATAGTAAACTTTGAATACTAGTAGTACTAGCAGTTGTTTGATACTGCCACTCGATGCTGCATATCGGATGCACATCAGATGCGTTGATGCGTCCTTAGAATCTTGATGCTGTGTCCGATGCGCATCACTTACGCGTCGATACTGTATCTATGCTATATCTACACAGTATAGAACTAGTACTAGTATCCTGAGATGTTAAAGCATCTTCACAAGACAATCGTAGATTTATACAGTGTATGTCAGTAATGGTTTAGGAGACAATATTTTCTATTGGAATTTTGCAGTTACTAAAATACACAGACCTGAACCCTCACACCCAACTCAAGGTCGTGAAATGGAAGAAGTTATATGAACAGGCACTTCGACAATGATATAACAACAGCAGATCAAATTCTCCCAGTCGGAGTCACAGTGCTACTTAGTATCTTATTATTTGCCGCAAAGTGGTAGGGCAGCAAAGTGCTACTTTCGATACAGAAACTTCCAGGCGAGAAAGCAGCAATACTTTACTATCTCTCTTTATCACCTTGTAAATCTGTTTATCACCGTCTTCTAGACAGGTGGTGCACTTCCAGCAGTTTGAAACGCGACACCAAGATGGCCGGAAATGGTTTAGCTGGGATCGAAGGAGCCAGAACTGGGAGTTCGCTATATTAGTACTAGTGCTATGGACGTAGTCACTTTGTTCTGAATTTCCTAAAAAATGCAGGTAGCTGTACGCCCTGGTAGCATTTACTGTCTACAGGATACATACGAGGCACTTGAATGGCCGTGAGAAGTCTTCGGTATTTGGTCTACTGCGCCTTCCCTTGTAACGGCTGGTGATGATGACTACTAGTACCTCCTGGTACCTGCGCCGTCGTCTTCTCCTTCCGTCCAATTGACACCAACTTCGGTCGGCGGGCCTTGGCACATTCTTGACCATCTTTCCCCTTCTTTTCGTCTCGATCACCTGGATTCCACTTCTCTCCGCAACCGAGGGCGGCCCTCCTCCCCGTGTTTCTCCAGATTTTCTGTCATTCTATTCGCGGACCTCAGAACGTGTGTCTGCGCTAGATCATCGGGTGCCTGAGACATCGACACCGTCCCTCTTTTTTCATTTGCTCATCGTGATGGCTTGCAGCACCGCAGAGCTGAGTTTGGGAGTCCAAGCAACCCAAACACCTTCCTAGGAGGGGTTTTCTAGGCCTTTTCCCGCGCCCTCTCCCAATGGGGCAGCTCCAGCAGCTCTGGGACGCATCATACAACCCTTCAGCTGCCAGGTGGGAGCAACAGCTATAAAACTTGGAGCAAGCTTCTCCGAAACCTCTTCTCGTTGTCCTCCTCTTCTCCCTCGCTCTTTCGCAGTCGACATTCTCGCTACTAGTATTCCAGATACTCTAATCGTCCGACATACTCGCTCTTTGACCGCCAAAAGCGTTGCGTACACAAGTACCACTATAGTGTATCTGTGGCAGCTACAAAATCTGGGCAAGATGCGCTTCCTATCTTTCGCCGCTGTTGGACTCTCCTCCCTCCTCCATCTTGCAGCGTCGCAAGATCTTTCTAGTCTCCCAGCATGTGCTGTACGTGTCGTGGACCCCGTCCCGCTAGCTAGATAGGACTAACAGCGACGTAGGTGACCTGCGCCGTCAACGCCATCTCTAGCACCGGGTGTGCAGCTACCGATGCTGCCTGTGTGTGCCAGGCAAGCAGTTTCCTCACTGGAGTGTATACGTGCATTTCTGCTTCTTGCAGTGCAGATGATATAGCTGGTAAGCTTTGGCCAAGGATCGTCAGAACCGAATATGAAGCTGATCTTTCTCGTCTCCTTCAGCAACTCTACAATTTGCCCAACAATACTGTGGATCCGCGGGCATCAGCATTACCCTTCCCACGGCCTCTGCCACTGCGGCGCCGACTTCCACTCCGAGCTCAGCAGCCAGTAGCCCGGCGACAGCACCCGCCTCCGTGACCAGCAGCTCTGTGCCAGCGAGCGGCGCCCCCGCTGCAACCTTTACTGGTGGAGCGCAGATCTTGAAGCAACAGTGGGCAGGCGTTGCTGGGATGATTGGACTGGGTGTTGCCGCCGTGCTGTGAGGGGCATCCAAGAGACAGGCTTTGGGTTGGACAAGCAACAGGGCAGCGGAGAGATAGTATTGAAGGATGGATACCAGTAAAAGCCGGTACAACGAAGAGTTTGTGATATGTTCACGAGATTATGACGCAAAATGGGAAAAAGAATAAGTATTTTTAGCAGTACTAATAAGAAGACTGTCGGTCTCGTTGTGCACTGTTTATTATTTATTGCGCAATCCTACTTGAGCCATAAGTAGTACCTCGTAACTGCGTTTCTAGACAGTTGTAGGTTGTGAAGGGCTAGGACAACTATGTGAGTTTAGGATGGTCCTTTTTGTGTCATCGAAGGCGTTCTGATCGTTGCGGTTCATTCAACCTCTAGCTCTCTGGTACGCCAAAGCTGGCGGCCTCAACGTGATTGCGGTCGACGTGGACGCCCAAGCTCTGGAACACACAAAGGAGGCTGGTACTGAGCGCGCCATCAACTCTCGCACTACCCCCAACGTCTCCGAACTGGTCAAACAGATCACACCAGAAGGAAAAGGCGCCAACGCCGTGGTCGTCTTCACCGCGGCCAGGATGTCTGCTCGTGAAAGCGAGAGGCAAGGGGAGAGGGATGGACGCGTTTCAGTTTTTCAGACACTGAAAGCGGTAGGGTTCTAAGCCTGCCAGAAGCGGAATCACTAGTTGTGCTATAGGATTCAAGAGCCCACCCCCTTGGCTTGAATGGCTTATGAAACGTATCTCGAAGTCCGGGCAGTCTCGGCAAAGCGTTGTGAAAGAGCGGATTAGACTGGATTCCCAAGCGAAGACCGTAGTGAGGGGACCCTGATACTGACTGCTACTCTCTCTCTTGGACTGGGGTCAGTTACTCTAGTGTTGTCAACAGATTTGATCTAGTATAAGTTCGGGGAGAGTATGTATGGATGCCCCTTTGCCGACCAGGTATATGAGTATAATAAATATACATCTCTATATCCACGTCTACCTCTCGAAACAATCAACCCTGGGTCGCGCCCAAGCGGAATACCTCGTCGAAGAAGTGATTCGCCAGGGCGATATTCTTCGGGTCGGCCGGGGGAATCAGCTGGGTGGCGTAGAGGGCGGCGACGCCGCGGTCGCGGTTCATGATCCAGACCAGATTCGGCAGGCCTCCCCAGGTGAGGGTGCCCTTGCGGTGCACCCCGATGTCGTCCTCCATGTAAAGCCCGCCGAGACCCCAGTTGATGCCGCCGGTGAGGTTGGCGGCGCCAGTCATGGCGGCGATGATGGCGGTGTTGCCCAGCAGGGCGGCGAGGGAGGGCGAGCCCGGCGCGAACTGCGGCGCGAACATGTTTTTTTCGATTGTCTCGCGCTTCAGCAGCCGCGGCTCGTCGCGGATCAGGTCGCCCAGCACGGCGAGGTAGTCGGTCGCCGTCGAGTACAGGCCCGCGCCCGCGCAGTCCTCGGGCGCCTCGTCCGGCCACATCTTCTGGGACATCTTGAAGGTGCCGTCGGCGTTGCGCTCCGCCGTGGGCATCAGCCGCGCCTGGATCTCCGGGTGGCGCTCGAGTCGGAACGTCGTCGAGTGGATGCCCAGAGGCTTGAATATGTGCTCCTGCAGGTAGTCTTCTAGTGAGGTGTTGTTGAGACGCGCGACGATCTCACCGGCCCACTTCCCCATTTTAAGACTCGAGTCAGTAAACGCTGTAGGCAGTGAAGGAGAGGTGGGGAGGTGGAAGAAATCCTAAAGTGTTTCTTTTAATGAGGTGGCCGGCTCTATCGTTGACTCACATCGATGCCGCCGCCGTATGACCATCCTTCACCAGGCTGGTAGAGTAAAGGTATAGTATGTGCCTTTGCCACGAGCGCGCTTAGAGACACGGCGCCCTCACCCCTCGAGGCCCGCCAGGCGACCAGCAGGGGGTCCATGAAGTCATACGCGTGCCCACTGTTGTGGCACAGCAGGTTTCTGAGGGTGATTTTGTTGGTGGCGGGCTGCGTGACGAAGCGTTGTGAGCCCTCGAGGGACTCTCCTCCTTCCTTGGGTGGTGGCGAGAAAACCTCGGGCGCCGCAAGCTCCGGCAGGATCTTGTCGACGGGGTCGTCTAGCCCGACCTGGTCGCGCTCGACGCACTGGAGCGCCGCGACCGTGCCGATCAGCTTCGTGCAGGACGCAATCCATAGCGTCGCGTCCGGGTCGACGCGATTGGTCGGGTCGTCGACGTTGGGGTGTCCCGCGGCTTTGAAGTACAGCTGCTTTCCTATAGATTGGGAGAGAGCGTGTCGAGTCAGTCAGTCAGTCAGGCAGGCAGGCAGCCCAGACAAAAAGGGTCCCCCTTGTCCAAAGTACTCTCCAGCCTTATCAGGGGTCGACGGGCTCCCAATGACGTTATATGATATGATATGATACCTAGCTAGGCATGATATGACACGGGGCCAAACGCACCGGTTTTGTCCACCGCGGCCAGGATACATGCGTGCACGGCGTTCTGTGCAGGGTCTGTGCTGTTGGCTAAAATGGCTTCAAAGTCTGCCATGGCTGCTGGTTTCCTGCGACAGACAACTCGCAGAGCTCCTATCCGTGGTGGTGATTTCGCAAGGAAAAGGAAATATCGTGATCGATTTGTCGGTGCTGGAGGGAGAGGAGGGGTCCAGGGGAGTCTCGGTAAAAGTCGACCCTCCAAGACGGGGTTTTCCTATGATTCTCCGAGATCGGGGGTTTTAGAGAGGCAGGGACTTTATAGTAGTGTCTGCTAGAGAGCTACCCGTACTCGGTATGCTTGTTTTGTTGTCTGGGACTTGGGTCAGGACAAAGGTCTTGGGTTGAAGGTGGGAGAGGGGCAGGGGGGGGGAGGGGGAGTAATTCCTGTGATGTTTTAGGATAGTTAGCTTCCTTGGACAGATAATCAACGGCCTGCCCCGCATACTGGATTAAAAGCTCGGTAGAGCTGAGAGCGTCAGTCGTTTGGTCAAGCCAAAAAAACATGTCAAGGCTGTGATGTACCAAGAATTGCATAAACGAGTCAATGTCCTGAGGTTCGAGCATAAAATGCTTTCCCCGGGAAGGATAAAAATATTCACTTCCGGCTTGGAATTCGGATTTACATAAACTGATTTGGTCGATTTTCCCCACAACCTTATCACCCCGTTCCCCAGGTCGATGGCCCAGTTGGCTTCAGTCCTCCAAGTTGGTCAAACCTTGTGCAACATTGGTCGGGCAGAGAGAGCCAGCATTGGTAGATCTCCACCCACTGACTCGCCGACTAGGCTAGTTGTGGTGTATAGCGAGGTATCTTTGGCAACTACTCGAAGAGTACCTCACCCTTGTCAAGTGGTTCTTGGGCTGGGCTCGACGACCACCCAAGTTTACAAGATGGCGTTGAACGGTGATCAAGTTGGGGAAAAAAGCCATACCATCGAGCGACAAATGTTGTGTGAGATGCAGCAGAAAAACAGCCTTGACCTAGAGACTACACGTCAAGCCTTGATCCATGATGGACTCAAAGCCTCTGATGGGTTCTCTACCACTCGGACCTAAAGTATTCGCGACTGCTCCACAAGATGACTCTTCGAGAAGTCAACGGTGTCACCAACGGCAGTCCCGCAGATGTCGACCAAGACAAACACCTCCACCTCGACGCCGTGATTGTCGGGGCTGGATTCAGCGGTATCTGCTCACTTCACCACCTGCGGAAACTCGGTCTCAAAGCCAAAATCTTCGAACAGGGGAACGAAATCGGCGGCGTGTGGCACTGGAATCGATATCCTGGAGCGAGGGTGGATTCCGAATCACCACTGTACACGTTCCACATCCCCGAGCCGTGGAACAAGTTCAAATACAAGGAGCGGTTCCCGGACGCCAAAGAGCTCCGCCGCCATCTCAACTACGCGTCCGACACGTTAGAGTTAAAGAAGGACATCTACTTCCACTCCAAGGTGATCCACGCCCAGTTCGACAAAGCCACAGGTCGATGGACCGTCAAGACCAACGCCGGCCACACAGCCACCGCAAAGTACTTGGCCATGTGTGTCGGCTTGCTACACATACCAGGCACGGGTGATTTCAAAGGCGCCATGTACCACTCACCCAACTGGCCGGAAGGCGGTAGCGTCAAGGGGAAGAAAGTGGCTCTGATCAGGACTGGGGCGACTGCCGTCCAGATCACCTAGGAAGTGGCCAAGGAGGCCGACCACCTGGACGTCTACATCCGCAAGATCAGCTTCTGCCTTCCCATGCACCAGAGGGAGAATCGTGAGGACGAACACCTCCAGCACAAGGCCTATTACCACTCGTGTTTCGCCGTGAGCAAGGAATCTCGGGTCGGGTTTCCCGTCCAGGGTCCCAACTGCGGCGTCTTCGACGTCACTCCCAAGGAACGTGAAGAGCACTGAGAGCTAGGCTGGGCCAGTGGTGCAGCCAACTTCGGCCTCTCCCAGTACAACGACGTACTGATAAACCCCGAAGCCAATCGTCTCGCCTACGATTTCTGGGCCAAAAAGACTCGGGCGAGGATGACGGATTCCAAGAAATGGGATTTCATGGCGCCCCTCGAGCCGCCTTACTACTACGGCACCTCTCGGTCGCCGCTGGAAGGGGATTATTACGAGTCCCTGGACCGACCCAACGTGGACATCATCGACGTGAGGAACCAGGGGTGGCGGTTCAACGAGACGGGCATCACCACCGACGACGGCATCAGTCGTGAGTATGATGTTGTCATTCTGGCCATGGGATTCGACAGTTTTACCGGTTCGTGAGTGTTGCCCTTTATCAGTGTTGCTACAGGAACTCTCCTCATTTCCTCGTAGATTTACCCACATAGGCCTGAAGAATGTCGACCCCGTCGACATGAAAGAACTCTGGGAGGACGGGATTCACACATACCTGGGCATGTTTACCCATGGATTCCCCAATATGTTCATGATCTGCGCACCACAAGGTATGTCCATCCCGAAGGAAAGAAGGAGGACCTTTGCGTTAACGTTCAAACAGCGCCCACAGCCTTCACCAACAACCCGACCCTGATGGAATGTCAATGGGACCTACTCGAAGACGTTGTCCGCAAAATGCAAGACGATAAGTTCAAATACATCGAGCCGACTCTCGAGGCCGAGGAGGACTGGAGACACAAGGTGACGTCGGCGACAGATGGTAATCCTGTTCCCGTACACTCGGACGTGGTGGAACTGGGGCAACATCGCCGGCAAGAAGGTGGAGAACATGACCTACATGAACGGCATCGATGTCTTTGTGGTCGAGGCGGCCGAGAAACTCAAGGACCTGAGGGACATTGTCCAGGAAAGGCAACTGGGCGGTAACCTCGTGCCACCTGCGTGAGTGTCTTTTGCCTGTCGGGATGCTTTGAGATTAGAAGACATATCACAAAGTCTTATCCACCGGGGTCAAAGCCAGAGGCTGATGGCTAATGGTCCCCCGCCTCCCCTTCTTTCTCCTGCTTTCCCCCAGTGTACGAATTCACACCCACACCTACCCGAGCAAAGCAGGACCGAGTACCTCGTTCTCCAGGTAAATTTCCCTAGGACCACTCAGTCCTCTTGGCTACTCAGTGCCCAGTCGACGTGAAACCCCATATTGGGGATCAAGCAGGCCGAGGGGAGAGGTGGTTCGAGAAAGTCGGATGCCCACGGCAAGACCTGACTGACTCTTTCTATATAATGGCACTATACTACTTACCAAGTAGGTGTGTTGGGGCGGTCAACGCCTCTGCACACAGAGGGGCCTCCAACTCCTGAAGCGTCAGCCTCGCAATCTCTTCCTGATCCAATACCTTTCCTCTATGGTCCGTGGTGTTCACAATCTGTCCCAAAGGCACCTGGGGTCAAATGTCGCAGTCAGACGGTACTATTTTAGCTCGATAGCTTCCCAAGGTGCTTTCCCACCCCCTTTTCTTTTAGGTATTATCAGACAACATTACTATCATTACACAGCCTATGAGCTTGTGGTTGTACCTGGAAAATAAAATACAGGGTTCCTTTACTGAAAGTTCCGAGTAAAATGATAGAATAACTGTGCGACAGTGTCGTCATTACTCGGCAGTGGCAGTCACAGCCACTGCCAAAAATACTAGGCCAAATGCTAGATTGTGATTGGTGGCCTCAACCTGCCCTTGCCTGGCCAAGCTGTCAACAGCACCAGCCACCACCACCACCCCCACCACCTCCTAGCTATGTACACCTCCAACTACATATTTCTCACCATCCCTTATGTGTATCTTCAACACCTGTCTCTTCGCCTCACCATCGTCCGTCTCTGCCTTCAGTCACTGCTCCTGACCAAACCTCACAATTTCCCTTCGATTTCAGAGGCGTGAGGAAGGTCGTCAGGTGATCAGGTGATCCTCTGTCTTGGACCTCAAGAATCAATTTCCTCTCAGCAAAAGTCGACAGAGAGAGAGAGCGACACTAATCTCTGGCGGAACTTTCCTGCGCCACGAGTTGGAGCTCTTGTTGACATAACTTGAATCATGGCATCCAGTTCTGGTCCCAGTTCTGGTCCCATTCCTGGACGTGACTCACTCACCAGCAAGAGCGGCAAGCGCAGGATTGTAATTGCAGTGCCTGATTCTCCATCGATACTGTCTAGATCCATTAAACGGTCTCGATCTCCTATCCCAATACCCAGTGACGACGAGGAGGAACCGCTTCCCAGGCGCCAGAAGAGACCAGCGCACCAGATGTACCCCTTCGCCTGTCCATTTTACAGGCAAAACAAGGACCTGTACTCAGCATGTCTTGAGGACGAGGAGAATCAGGTCGGCGACATCGACAACATCTATCGACATGTTACAAGAAAACATCGTGCACCAGATCATTATTGCCCTTGTTGTGGCGTCCCCTTTGACAATAGAGCCAGCTGTGACGAGCATATCCGGGGCAGGACGTGTGAAGCGATATATCCTGCCCCAAGTTTTCAAGGCCTGACGAGCCAGATGCGGGTGCAATTAGACCAGGAATTCAACAAGCCCACAACAGGGAAGGATGACGACGAGAAATGGTTTCGAGTGTTCAATTTCCTATTTCCGACAGAGCGCAGTCAGGGAATATCTCCATATCTCGACGCCGACGAGGTCCGCACCAAGACGTTGCTCTCTCTCAAGGTCTATATTAGCGAGCGCGGGGGTCACGACACGAGGAACGCAATGACCACGATGATTGACGAATTCTCAGAGCAAACCCTGTTACACTCGGCGTCCCTTGGGGGCGTGATAACAATTGCTGACAGGAATGTTGGCGCATCATCGGCTGCGAGGCCTGGACAACATGTGGACGAAGACGCAAGAGCCAACGCAGCTACCACAACAGCTATACGGGCCATTTCCACTACTTTTAGACCGCCAATAAGCGAGTCTCCTTGGGCCTCAAGCCTACCCACCGGAGGGTACATGGCGGGTGGGACAGACTGCAACCGCCGGCAGCTTCGGCAGCTTCGCCCAGTAGCAGCACGCAGGCGCGTGTTGACTAAGCCTACATGTGACGCTTGTGCCAAGAGCTTCAACCACGAGAAATCCCTGGCACGTCATATCAGGTTGGTGCATCGCGACACTGAATACAAGTGTCCCGACTGTGACCGTATATTCAACCAATGGGGCCTTCTCCAGAGTCATATCAGGTCGGAGCATCCCGACACTGTATACAAGTGTCCCGACTGTGGCCGTACATACACTCAGCGGAGCAGTCTCAAGCGGCATATCAAAAATACATGTGAGGGTGCCACAGACAGCTAGTCAACCATACCAACTGTGCGGGGTTAATGATCATTATATACAAGTATTATCTCGATATGTACTTTTTTAGATGGTCCAGATCAAACCCGCGGTAACCAACACTGCAACGCCGAGTCGACCTGTTATCCCACCGCCTGCAAGACCTGTCAAGCTCGTTGCCTTGTTCTCAACCCCGCCGCCTCCAGAGTCATCGTCATCGTCTGAACTGTTCGACCCCGTCAATACAACACTCTCGTTGCGTCCGTCGAGATCCAAATCGAGTCGGACGTCCGGGTGGTGCAGGACGGTGGCCACGACCCATTCGGACGCGACAACGGAATATTGGTCGTAATAGCTCCAGTGGGCGGTGATGTTGACCGGGTCGCTGCCGACCGCACATACGGGGTCGCCGGCGTTGCACCACATGGCCGTGATGTCCTCGTAGACGTTGAGGTCGTCGAGTTGTTGACCCGACCGTGGCGCCGTGCCATTGTAGGTCGAGCCGCGGCCGATGTTGTACGGCTGGTCTGCAGTGAAGCGAGGGTCCCCCATGGCTACCACGGCGGCGACTAGGAAGTGTGTTAGAATATTTTCTCACAAGGCTTGGAGGGTGCTGAGCAGAATTTTTGGGGAGGAGTCAAACAAAGAGAAACTTGGCAAGAAGACGTACTCTTCGATCCAGGCGCCGTGTCTCGAGGCAGCGAGGGATTCCAAGCCTGATCACACCCAAAGATCGGCCCGCCACCGCCACCCAACATATCACCGACGACAGCCGCGCCCTGAGAATAGCCTAGCAGGACCAACTTGGAATCCGGACACCGCTCGGCATACGCCCTCAGTTGGGCCTGGCCGGCGTATGCGCCCGCGTTGGCCGACTCACAATAGAACCCCGAGTACGAGATGTTGGCCGGGTAGACAATGTCCTCGTAGTCGCACGACACGCCCTGGGGCTCGAACTTGGAACACATGACGCCCAACATCTCACCGCCGCGGCCGGGGTAGGGCTCATTGGACCCCCGGGCACTGAAGATGCGAATGTCACTGCAATCCTCTGGGAGGTGAGGGGTCGTGTAGGGGATAACATCCTCGTCCTCGTGCTGCTCTTCTCCTGTTCCTTCGATCTCACTTCCTTCTTCTTCGGGGACAACTGGGTCCGTGATTTCGTCGGGGTTGGGGATGGGCTCGGGAGGGACTTCGACTGGTGTTGCTTCAGGGGGTGGGATTTCAATGGATGTGGCCTCGGGAGGCGTGACTTCAGATGTCGCGACTTCATCCTGTGCCAATCCCGGCGTTGCGTGGAGAATAATGACAACGATGATGATGGCAGCGAGCCATGATAACCGGACTATCATGTTGTCTGCCTCGTATTATTCCTTGCCTTGTACATGAACGTTCCACCCTTCTCCCTTACTCCACTCCTCTGCTCCCTTGCGCTGCTGTTGCGCGACCTATACCTTGGTTTTCTTCTTCCCTGATTATCCCTTTCGAGGCCAAAAAGGTGGCGAACCCCTCCTCCAAGTATCCAACTGGCCAAGATAAAACGAGGGTATGTTGTATTTGTGTTTTGTCGAACCGACTGTGATGTGATTTGTTGTGATGATCAATATAGAATATTTGTTTGCCCCTTTTGTTTACCCTGTAAATTCGTAGACGGTCGTTTCCTCGCTGTGTATGTGTATGTGTATGTGGCTGTGTGTCATGTACAGTACAAATCAAAGAACGGGCGCGCGTGCACACGCGACCATGGAAAGATCCCGATCTATCCTATCCTATCCCATGAAAACACCCAGCCCCGGAAACGGAGAGAGAGAGAGAGAGAGAGAGAGAGAGAGAGAGAGAGAGGACCCTGCAGAGGTAAAAGATAATGAAAGGTGGTGGGTGATTTTATTGAGATCTGGCTCTGGCTTTGGCTCCAGTGGACCGTTGCAGAGCGTGTGTGTGTGTGTGTGTTGAACGATAGGCTTGGGACAATGAGCGATTGAGCGAGCGATAAGTTTTCAGTCAGATAAAGATCAAAATAAGTAAACCGACATTAAAACAAAGCACTGATAAAAAAAAAATCAGAAGAAAAAAACAGCAAAGAGTGGTAGTTAAGTGAGAGTGGGATATAGAGAGAGGGAAAGCGTAGGTAATAGATAACAAACAACAACCCCCCAAGGAATGCATATACTTGAAACCCTACAAGGGACGATCTTTTATCTCGATGACGCTGTGCGCACGCCGGCTCTCCGCTCGAGGCAATTCCCCTTTCCAAGAAAAAAGAAAGATGGTAATACCAAGCACGACTAGGTACCAAGAAACCGACGAGCTAATAGGTAGTACTGCTGAACCGCTCTGGGGACCCGTTCATCTGCGGGTGGCCGGTGGCCGGTTTGGTGTGGGCTCTTGTCTGAAGGTCTTGAAAATCAAGACAATAAAACTGGACGGATGGCGGCGGGTGGGTGGGTGGTTCGGGAGTCGGGGGGAGGACCCCGACCGCGTAAGACAACGAAACTTGGCACACTTCCCCTAGGCTCGTCCCAGGGCTGTCACTACGCAGAGCTTATAGGGCGGGAGAGGCGCCGCGGTAGCAGCCACGAAAAGCCACGACAGCCCAAGAAGACGCCACAGATGCGCATCGCTTGGCTGCCAACACTCGGATGGGACAATCTTCAGGGGAGACGCCAAGGCACCGTCTGCACGCGACACTTTGAGCCAAGCAGGGTTGACGCATTCCCATGCCGTGGTAGCCGACTTCGCCGAGACTACGAGGTGTCCTCACTTCACTTGGACTTGGACTTGTACCTATGTATGTATGTACATATGTATGCACTTGTGGGAAAGAAAAAAAAGGGGGTGAATGAGTGAATGAATGAGGACCACGAGTGGATAAGGCAGGTAGGTACATAGGTAAAGTACTCGTAAGCGTATCGTGGCGCCAAACCTGGGCGACACCAAAGTAATTATTACCTGGATCAAGTATGTACAAAAGTAGGGAGGGAGAGGGGGGGTGGTTGGGTAAATATTCTGCCATGATTGATTGCCTACCGTACCCGGTAGAGCGAATGTCCTCGTAGCGCCACTGCCAAACTGGGGAAAGGGTCCTTCTTTACGAGGTAGTACATATTACTTTGTGCATGAGTGTTTATGTAAATTTTAGCACCAGCACCGAATAGCTAGGGATTGATTATTACAGGGGTTCCATGTCTGCTTTTTGCAGTATGCATCTTGGTCGTAAGGGACAATCAACACAAGAGTGTGGACGGAGTAGATCTCGCAGTTCCCAGGCGTGAGAAGAACCCTCGGGATGAAAAGGGCGCCATCGATTGGTTGGTTTGGGGCAGAAGAGACGACCCTGGGACAAGATTCTGTGTCAAGGACTCTCTGTATAGACGTACATACGTGTACATATTTCTTGGTTCCCCCCTCCCTTTTTTTTTTTCAAAAGGTGAATCAATTCTCCTTACCAAGGCTGATCAAGAAATCCCCTGGTCCACTGGAATATTCACTCCACCCACGTCGAGAGAGAGTCCTCGCTCAGCAACCACAATATCACCCGGGGCAATGCTCGACGGCTCCATGGCCTTGAAACCCTGCGACTGAAGCATCTTGATGCTTTCGTCCCCTGTTCTGCCCTTCAAACGCATTGTCGAGGATCGGCGTGTTGGTCGTCCCGGGACTGCAGCAGTTGACGCGGATGCCCAGGTTGTAGAGGTCCTCGACCGCGCTCGTGGTGAAATGGACGAGGCCGGCTTTGGCGGTGCCGTATCCAAAGTTGCCGCCGGAATGGAAAATCGTGGCCATGGAGGCCACGTTGACAATGGCCGGGTTGGAATCCTCGGGCGTGCTCTGCATCAACTTGACGGCGGCACGGGAACAGTGAAAGGCTCCGTCGATGTTGACACCCATGGGCCCTGCGCCACTGCTCGACCGTCTCCTCCAAAAGCTTGGAGCCCGGCTTGTTGGATACCTGACGACCAGCCACGCCGGCGACATTGGCCAGTCCACGCAGCCCTGTTCCTCCCTGTTCGATCTTGGAAACTCATGCGTCGACTTGCTCAGGAACCGAAACGTCGACGGTCGGGGTGTGCACCTTTGTGCCTGGGTTGATAGCCGCCAATTCGGTCTTCATCTGGTCGAACCCGGCGGTATTGACATCGCCAATGTATATGGCCGCGGGACCGCGACGTGCGAGGAGGCGAGCTGTCGCGGCCCCGATTCCAGAAGCACCGCCGGTGTCTGCAAAAGTCCTGGAGGTCAATGCTGCCGCCATAGACGGTGTTGCAGGAGAAACGACTAGGGAATAGTCTCTCCATTCTTTTAATGATGAAATCCACTCTGCGGAGAGGGGGGAAAAACCATCAACGAGGCTCAGACAAGCCGCTGACTCGCCCACTGACTCGCTTGATCTATCTCAACAAACCAGGATTGAGCCTTTCCCGAGTTACCGAGTTACCGTGTCATCAGACCACTGGCGAATCGTCACCCCAATTGGGCTTCGATCGCTTGTTATCGACGCTGAGTGTTGACGTCTTCGCATGCAACCCTCCAAAGTCTTTACCTCGACTACAAAAGACAGCACCTGTCCCGTCGTCAGTGCAATTCGTGGCACACTTACTGCGATAGAACACTTCTGACAGAAAATCTGGAATGATGTCGCGGTTCCAGGGTAAGGTGGCCTTGGTCACAGGGGCAGCCTCGGGCATTGGTGAGGCCATCGCCAAAAGACTGGCCAAGGACGGCGCAACAGTCATCGCGGCAGATATCACACCGGAGAAAGAGGGATTTACAAAGACCATAGGCGCCGACGTGTCGTATTATCAAGTCGACGTGACTGACGAGAAAGCTGTGCACGAGTTGGAAGGCTGGATCCGGCTAACATACGGCGGGCTGGACATTCTCGCCAACAACGCCGGGATAGGCGGCCCTAGCGGACTAGTGCATGAATATCCCATAGCCGCCTTCGACCAGGTCTTCAACGTCAATGTCCGGGGCGCCTTCATGGTCTTACAAGCTGGAGTCCGTCTCATGCTGGAGAGTGGAGGTGGCGCCGTGGTCAACACGGCGTCGTTGGCAGGGTTCCGCGGGGTTCCCAATGCCAGCCCTTATCACGCATCCAAGGGCGCCATGGTCATGCTCACTCGCACGGCCGCCATCGAGTACGCCACAAAGGGCATTCGAGTGAATGCGGTAGGACCCGGTCTCATCGCGACGCCCTTGGTGCAACAATTGGACAATGCAGAAGTGGCATTGCAGCATTTGACTGCACAGATTCCGCAGGGGAGGCCTGGTCAGGCTCCCGAAGTCGCCAATGTAGTGGCCTTTCTCGCCGACGACAACGAAGCGTCGCATGTTACAGGTCAGATCTGGTGCATCGATGGTGGCCGGTCGGCGACATGAAGACGATGAAGCGGAGGATTTTTCTGGCAGTGTGCACGCACTCATCATGGCTATGGGGGACATATAAGTAGCATTGAAGGGCGAGAGGTGAGGGGGAGAAGGAGTGAGGGATGAAGAAAAAAGAAACAGTAATAATGACCTCTTTGACAGTTCCAATTTCGATTCCATGGCGCGCGTCGGCGGTCTCCGTGCCCGCAAAATTCTTTGACTTTGGCGCGATTGGGTCTGCTCACAAGTTTCTTTGACTGTTATCAGATCGACAACTTTTTGCACACACAATGCAGCTTGGCTCTGATGGGGTAGGATATAAATGTATGCCGATAGCACGTATCACCATCTGGCACGACTTGGACATCGGGAGGAAATACTAACCAACGCATCTCCCTTCCCACTTCTCACTCAAACACTAGTGAGTGTTTATAGATCCATAAATATTACACACTGTCAGAAACCAACCAACCAATACCAACCATCACTGTTGTCTGCAGTGCCAAAAAAAAAAGAAAGAGGAAAAACATGCCACGGGCCCAAGACCTAGCGACGGCGCTCCTGTCCACGACGGAAAAGTCCATAATCCCGCTGACGGCGGAGCAAGTGTCGCAGGGCTCGAAGCTGTTCGGGGCGGCGGTGCTGGACCGGGCGACGCTTGCGCCCGTAGTCGCGGCGACCAACAACGAGCGCGAGTCGCCGCTGCTGCACGGCGAGATCAACTGCATCCAGCAATTCTTCAAACTGCCGCGCGAGGGGCGGCCCGAGACAAAGAACTGCGTCTTCTTCGCGACGCACGAGCCGTGCTCGCTGTGCCTGAGCGGCATCACCTGGTCGGGCTTCAACGAGTTTTACTACATGTTTACCTACGAGGACAGTCGGGATTTGTTTGCCATTCCATGTGAGTTTGGAAACCCTACACCAGGTTACAGCAAATACCTTCATTCCCCATTCCTTTATCGCAAAATGGAGCCTGGCTAGAGCTATAGACAACTGAACACACGACTCAATTGTTGACTTTGTCTGTCAGACGACATCGACATCCTCAAATCCGTCTACCAGGTCCCCTCGCCCGGCGACACCGAGGAGACCCTGGCGGCCAAGCCACTCTACAACCGCAAGAACAAGTTCTTCACGGCGCAGTCGCTCGCCGAGCTGATCGAGTCGGTCGAGGACGTTGAGGCGCGGACGAAGCTGCAGGGCGAACTCGAACGGGTCAAGAAGATGTACGACCGGCTCAGCGCGACGTACCAGGAGGGCAAGAAGAGCGGGGCGACGACGAACAGTTTTTTCCAGTAAATGCTGAGCTCATACTTGGGAGAGGTAATTGATTACGATGTAGAAACGAACACTAATGTATGTACTGCCTGAGGAACTGGGACCACTTGGAACGCGAATCTGGTTGGGTCGGGCAGAGATCTCAATACTAGTATTTTCATGTACAGACAGACAGGCCGGACATAGGAGATAGTTCAATCTGGGTAGAATAGAGCCAGTATGAATCATCCATTCACTACGAGTACTAGTACCCTCCCGCTAAGTGTGGTTGTCCCACACTTCCCCTATCAATATCGTATGTACATACCCCATATCCGAGGAGCGTTACCTTTTCCCCTCCCATATCCTCTCCCGCCGATAGACTCCAGACTCAACCCCTGCGCGGGCCCGGGCAAATTCGAGTCCCAAACATCCTCTCCCATTGTCCTTGGCCCAGTCCCAGTCCTGGCAGGCCCGATTGGAGGCCTCGGTGACCGTCAATTCGCCGCCGCACCACTCTCCTCCTCCGGGCGAGGGCTGTAGATGACACATTCGACGTTGTGGCCGCCGGGACTGATGACAAAAGCGGCGTAGTAGTTGTGCGGGTGGTATTCAGGCCGTACGCCTGGTGCCCCGTTGTCTGTCCCGCCGGCCTTGAGAGCCGCGGCGTGGAATGCGTCGACCTGGGCGCGATCTAGAGAGACGCATAGCATTCATTCCCTGTCAGCCTCGAACGAAGCAGATCTTGTAAAGGTAGTATTGCTAACTAAAAGAGCTCTCGCTGCCAGGGATAAATGTTGGATGGGTGCGGTTCATACCTTTCGCTTCCAGAGCCAAATGATTCCTCAAGACCTTCGCATCATCAGGAATGGGCTGACGGTCCTCGAGGCCAGAAACCCACAGCCAGGGTCGTGTGTCGCCCAAGCCGACGACACCGGGAACGGGGCGCATGAACTCCTTCAGGCCCATGTGTCCAAATGCCCCAATGAGGAAGGCCACCTCGGCGTCGACCTTGCTGAATGCGACGGGGTAGGACAGGTGGTGGCACGACATTTTGACTAGGAGAGAGAGAGAGATGACTCTACTAGTAACCTGGGGGAATGAAGATGGAAGCTGGCCTTCGAAAGCCTTTGGAAAGAGACGATGGATGGATGGTATCCACCTGTATGTAGCAGAAGGTGAGAGGTCAAGTTATCACTCAGTAACTACTAGTAGGTAGCACTTAGTGCTTGGTAGCTGTAGTTGCACTGTGAATATTGAATCGAGAAAACAAGCCTGGGGGAGACACTTTCAAGGCAATGCCCTTCTAAATACTACAAAGCATATAGTATTATTTAATGGCCTTCTCCATCATTGCCAATGCCTGGCTGGCTGACCTTTGACCATATCTCTCTCAAGGATTACCAACGAAAACTTGGACTCCCGCACGTGTAACCGCGTTGATTTCGCGCACCTCCCACGCGTTCTTTCCCTGCTCGGGTCTAGTCAGACGCCGCGCCAGGCAACAGCGGCTTGGCGGCTCGGTCTGCCCGCCTGCTCACAACTGCTGCCTGAGGGTGCCTGATTGTTGATGCAGGATGCCGTCACTGTTCCCTTTTACTCGGGAGGATCATATCATTATTGCCCCGCTGGAGGGAAAGGATTCGGGTACTATTCGTACTAGTAGTGAGTGAGTGAGAGAGTAGTGTACTAAGTACTCCTCGGTTCTCAAGTCGAACAGTCCAAAAACCGTTACTAAATTACCTTCCTACCTCTACTACTGGTAGCACTTACTAGTACTGGTCGTTGTTTGATGCTGTATAGATACGCTGCTCTGATGTTACATCAAGGTTTTACGGACGCATGAATGCATCTGATGTGCATCAGATGCAGCACATCTAAACCACATCAAAACCGCATCGGGAGTAGCATGAGTGCATCAGAGCAGTGCTAGTAAGTACTTATTGAACTCGTCCATTTGGACCAGGTCCATCGAGATCTGAGTGCTATTTGGTTCCTAAGAGCGTTGTTCGTTTGTTTGATACTGCCACTTAGTACTATCTGAGATCAATCTTGCCCATGAAGCTATCGTCGATATCAAGCAAGTACTGAGTGGGAAACGGGAGATCAAAAAGGGGGAGAGGAGAAGGATACACCTCACTTTCTACTACCCACCTCATGTAGCTCTGGGATGACGATTGAGTTAGTACTAGCTGACGAAAAAGTAGAGCTTCAATAGAAGTCCCAAAATGTAGGTCCCACAGCGAAAGAGTACGAATTAGGAAGGGGCTACCCACTGGGGTCTGTTGGTTGCACTCTCGTCGTACCGTCCTTTTTTTTGGACAATGCTACATTACCCGATTCGGCGAATTCGGTGCCGCGTTTCGAGTCGCCCTCTCGATTTCATTTCAACTTGAATTGAACGCTTTGCAACCAACCATGCAACCAACGACTCGACAACTACTAACTGTCAGGGGCAATGTGTGACAGTGTTAGTCGCAGTAATAAGTACCAATGGTTTATTTGACCTACTACAACGCGGTTGACTTCAGAGTGCTGTCCAGGAATGGAAGTCGCAGAGTATCAACCAATTACTTACTAGGTACTAATACTTGTATCCAAATGCATCATCAGTCTTACCGAGGCAGGGTCGCATGTATCGTTATTCATTGATTTTATAGATGTCAGGCCTGGCACTACTCCTGAATGAGTGAGTTCCAAGTACCGGTGCTCGTTACAGCTATCATTCTCTGAAGATGTCGCCACCTTCAGCTTTCAAGGCACAATAGCAAAATGCAAGAGATCCCATCCCAGTAAACCCAGTACAATCGAAAAATGACTATTCAGCATTGAACTCGGTCGACAACGTCGCAGTGACCTCGACGAGCTGGGGCTCAAAATCGATGCCCACGCCGACCTCGAAAGTCGCCGAGCTCGTGGCCCTCCTCGCAGTCTGCATCACCCGCTTCATGGGCCACGACTGCTCCACATCCTGGATCTTGACGCAAACCACTTTTTCTCTGCCGATGGTGCGTCCGTACGCCTGCGCCCGCGTTATGGCATGCTGCAAGGCCATCAGGCGAGCTTGCTCGTCGAGTTCGGCTTTCCTCTCGTCCAGCAGTTGCCAGTCGATGCCTCGGAGCTCGACGTGCGGCATGGCGGCGAGGCGGGCGACCATCTGTCCCAGGCTGGGAAGGTCGCGGAAGTGGATAGCGATTTCGGAGTGGGCGCTGTAGAGCTTCCTCTTGAGGCGGGCACCGTTGTTGTTGAATTCGTCCGCCGCAGAGATGGCGAGCGAGGCGATCGAGTAGAAGCTCACAGGGGCATCTGGCCTTATCTCTCCCGTCTCGAGTCGCGGGCACAGCAGGTCCAGCTCACTTTGGATGTCGTTCACAGCGGACACCACGTTTCTTGAGACTTCATTCTTTTCTGAACCAGAGTCGGCAGCGGCTAGGTTGAGCACCGCTCGCTGGGCGGTTGTCGTGATAGTGGCGTGGCCTTGAATATGGATCAGTGTTGGAGGGATTGCCATGGCTCAAAAAGATTGGAGAGAGAGTTATGGGTACGGAGACCAGGTCTATCTCAGATGGGAGGAGCTGGACGTTTTTATAGACACAAAGCGTGGTCTGCTGCCTGCCTGATATTGCCTGATCCTAGCTGAAACCGCTCCTTCCAAAGCATCTGGCCACTTCGCTAACCATTTTCGGTATAGCTCCATATGTCCCCCGCTTATAGTGAGGGTCGAGAGCCCGCCATATACTCACGAGCAATATTCTTTTTGGACATCAGTCTGTGTTTGGTGATCCAATACGGAGCCGGCAACCCTGTCTGACTCATATCGTTTACGTCTCCTCTCACCAGAGACGCCACCGCTGCAGAACAACCAAGAATGCGCGGCATGCCATGGCCGGTGAAGCCTGCGCTCACAAAGATGCCGGGTTTTCCAGGTATTTCTCCGACCCAGGGCATGAGGTCGGAGGAGTAGCCCATGACGCCTGTCCAGATGTCCGTGATCCGTGCTCCGGAGTCTTCCCAGCCATGAAACATTCGCTGCATGTAGCCAGTAAAGTATTTCTCAGCACCGGGTATCAACTGCGAATCATCGATGTTGTTGCGCCAATACGAGTCATTCAGGAGGACGGCCTGTTTGGCACCTCCAACGACTATGCTACCGTCTGTCCTGCTGATCAGATAATCGTACTCCTGGGGTCCGTATCTGATGCTGTACGTGTTGTTTAGGTGAGGAGCCATCTTTCCGTGCTCCGGCACGGCAATTCTGCAAGCGACTCCTCTAGCAGGAGTGATTTTATCGTCAAAGTCCGGCAGCAACGCCGACAGATACGCATTCGTGGCCAGAGTGACTTTGTGCGCTCTGATCTCTCCTCGAGGAGTGGTCAGCACCCACCGTCCATCACTGTCGGGTGAGTCGGAGATCGTGGTAACGGGAGTATTTGCTTGAATATTTGCTCCCCACTCTAAGCACCGACGGAGGAGATGACAGACAAGTTTATAAGGCCAGACCGATCCCGCTGTAAAAGTGAAGGCAGCCAGCGCCCCCTTGACTCCTGAAACCTGTTCCGCCTTCTCAGGATCCTCGATGAAGTGGAGGTCATCTGAGAAACGGTATCCTCTGGCTTTCATGTCCTTGTACGCCGCGATCGTGGGCTCGGCAACTCGACGGTCGACAAACACGTCGATGGCACGCGTGAGTTGAAAATCACAGTCAATCTGCTCTTTCTCGACCAATCTCTTGACATCCATGACTTGCTGCGTCTCAAATCTCGTCAGCTCCTCCGCAACTTGCGGCCCGTACACCCTTTCGTAGAGGGCCGCGTTGAAATAGACGTCCGGTTTGAGATGTCCGCCATTGCGTCCTGTAGCTCCCGAGCACACGTCTCGAGCCTCAAGTATCAGGACCGAGGGTCTCTTGCCGTTGTCCTTTTCGAGAATGTGGTAGGCACATGCTGCTCCGACGTACCCTGAACCGATCACCACGATATCCGCCTCTTGCGGGAGGTTCTCAGTGGTGCGTTGTTTTGACAGATTGGACGGATTCGAGAGCCAATACGGTGTCATAGGGTTTGACTGGGGTAGAGGCATGTTGCTGGTGTTCTCAAACACAGATTGCGTCGAGCAAACCATATGTTTGTTCAGCTTCAATGAAGTTTCGTTATTGACAATGTCGAAGAAGTGGTATGGAAGCATTGCCGCAAGCGGCGGGAATGTCCGTGCCTAGCGGAAGCCATCGTATGAGCTGATAAGGTCAAGATCGTGGCGGGCAAGATCAACGTCCTTTATGCCACCAGAAATGAGTGATGGGTTTCGCCCAGTGAACATGTAAATTCATGGCGAAATGGGTCCCAGTTTACGACATGGAACGAGAGGTGTCACGTGGCTGCGTCTAAGACACCTGGGCGCAGGGACGTCAGACCCAGCGTACGGGATATATAATACGCAAAACATGCTGTATATATACAGAGTACGTGCTTAACAGCCCATCGCCACCGTCTGAGACTGACGCCCAAGAGAAACAATGACCAATGAGTCAAGTCAGCCAGGGCCATTATTCCCTTGTGCCTCCCTCGCCTTGACAGTCGGTGAACTTTCGCTTCAAGGTAAGAATGCGCCATGCTCAATCATGATTGTTGGCTACTCGTGTCGCTCTTGTCCTTCTTTCCCTTCATCAGGCTCGAGCTCCGACCACGAGACTCGTGTCCCAGCGTCATGGCTCTAAATCTATTAGTGCCACTCATCGGACTGTCGACTGACACTCCACTTCCTTCGAGTTTCCCTATTCGGGCTGTCAGGGTGGTGTTCTCTCTTTGCAGTTCGCCAATCTGGCGGATGAGTATGTCCTGCTCCTTCTTCAGGAGTTCTAGCTCTGCTCTCGCCTCGTCCCGCTCTCTTGTTAAACGTGACTTTTCGTCCTTGTCAGCCTGCTTGCGCTTCTTCTCCTCCAGTTTCTTCGCCTCTCGCTTTCTCTTCTGTTCCAGCTTGGCGACTTCTTTCTGGTACCTTTCTTCGTGTTTCTTGAGTTCACGCTGATGTCTCTCCTCCACCTTCTTCAAAGCATGCTGTTCCTTTTCGGTGTCCTTGTAGGCTTGGCTCGAGAGCTTTTCACGTTGCTTTGTGAACTTGGCATCCACCGCAGCCTTGCGTTCCGAGAGTTTGGCCATTTCCTTGTCATGCTGCTGCAGAAGTTGGCTTTCGGTTTGCTCGGAGAGGGATTTGGAAGAAACCGAGGGAGTTTCCTCGTACGTCAGGTGCGAGTCGGCAGAGGCGAATGAAGTGGTTGAGATGGTGGAAGTGTCATCATCGTCGCCATCGAGATCGTCCCCTTGTTGTATATCTTGCTTGGTCATCTCTTGATGGCCATCGACCCCGTTGCCAATTTGAGGGAAATGTTCGCGAACTGCCTGCGGAGTGTACGAACTGATCGCCTCCGTTACGGTATCCAACAGACTGGAAGGTGACGCCGGGGTATCCGGCGGAGATTCAATTGCACCACGATCATTGATCACGGCATTGGCAGCGGAGGCTTTGGGTGTACCGGGCGGTGATTGTCCAATGGTTTGAAGACTCTCTTCGTGTTCCTTGATCCCGGCAAGAGTCCCATTCGCTTCCCAGCTGGCAAAACTTTCACGCCGCTGGCCAGGAGGTCTTTGCGCGGGCCTATCACTATCGTCCTCATCGTCCTCTCTTTGACACGCCCAATCCAAGAATTTCAGGGCGTCTGCGCAGATACTTGCAGGTGTGCCCCTCTCGACCATGAATCGCGGAACACTGCCCCCGGGATCGCTTCGAGTAACCATGATCCATTCGACAGGGTTCTCTTCGGGGTCAAAAGGTTCAGCAGGATCAGGGGTCTTTATAGGGCTGCTAGGGGCATCAACTGTCACACTTCGTTTCCTGCTTCCGGGAGACATCTCCCTGAGCCCTGAGCCGTGAGTGTCTACTCTCAAATGCCTATTGTCATCGTGGCGATGCTGGTCAGTATCCATTGCGCGCTTCTCGGCGTTGTTTTTGAGAACATCTTTCTCAAGTGACGGGGAAGGTGCCCGATGGTGGCTCAGGTGACCCAAATCTGTTGATGACATGGTAGATTTGAGCTTCCTAGGGACTTCGCGAATGAACTCTACCGATTCGTACTGGCCACGGATGAAGCCACTTAGAGGCTGCGTTTCGGGGTGGTCGCATGGTTTAGAAATGATCATGTAGTGCCGCGGGGCTAGATCAGGCGCTTTATGAGAGTCCCCATGGTGTTTGATAGCCTTCGATGATGTAACCAGAAGAGTGACAAAATCACGGGGAGTGGTAGGTCCTGGGAATTGAGCACTGAGGCGATAGACCTCGATCTTTCCACGATTGGGCACCGTGATCTCCTCGACCTTGGTTTCTGCGCCAATCCCTCTGACATTCCCTTCGCCGGGTTTTCCTTGGACAGCGAGCGAAGTAGGAAACTCCCGCTCGAACCCGCGCTTGAAGCGATTGAAGCCCAGACCTTCATGCACACTCCTTCGAGCAAACCACGAGCCTTTCCCGTCCTTGCTGGCCAATTTGTAAACAGCTATGCCCAATGGGTTTTCTTTTGCCGCAAGCTTTATCGGCTTCCCCCACTCATGTTGTAAGGCTGCATATTCTGGGGCCGGAGGCGGGCTCCGCGCAGACGAGGTGAACATTTCAGAGGCATTGTTGGCGGTGATCGAGCCCGTGGTATGTGAACGGTGTCGGTGAGTGGGGTCAGGTTCAGGGATAGGTATAGACTCGACTATCGTCTGGGTTCGGGAGAAGAGGTCGGATAGGAAGGACTCCAGCTCTTCATGCGTTTGCGGGATATCCGCGAACTTGCAGGGAGCGAGAGCCTTGAGGGAATCGTGGAGGCTCGCCATCGTGAAGAAGATCTCTCGAAGTGGTCGTGCGTCCAGGGAGCTCGATCTGCTGGCGAGTGAAGGAGCTGTATAGACAAGGCACGGTTTATGTGGTGGACATTGCAGTCGGTGAGGGGGCACCCTCGATATGCCGTCACTGCGATTGAGAGCGGGAGGACACTAGGAGCCAGTCCTTACCGAAGAGGACGGCAAGCTGAAGGACCCAACCTCTGATTCGACATTTGAGAAGTCAATGCACAGAGGTACAAGCCGAGGACAGCAGTTTGAAGGAAATGGGGACACAGCTGATATCAGAAGGTGTTGATGATGACTGAGCAACGTGCGGTCGAGTTCCCCCCGGTTCATGGTAGTAGCCACCCGTCATTGAGGGCCAAAGGTCACGATGACGATGCACACTTTTGACAAGGGATTACCTGGAACAGTGCTAGTGGAGGGGCAGACGATCGGCCTTCAATTGGGCTGGATCCGGCAGATGAGGGTCTTCTAGGCCTTGAGGCCCAGCTGGTTAATCGTCAGAGGCGCTTTTAGGCGAGCCCGGGGCGCGGCTGCTTGGCCCACTAGCCCAAGTGCCCGGTAGTCTGGCCCGTCACCACCGTAGGCCACTCAAGTCACAAGGCATAATGTACGTCCTAACCCGGTACTTATCGCGTCGAAATCCGATCTCCTCACAACCACGATAGGGCACGCAAGCTGAGATCTGTACTGACACCAGGGTAATTGTCAGTCCATGATACTGTGACAAGACTGGCCCACGAGAGGAGGGGATCAGGGTATGCGCAGGTGAAGAGGCAGAGAAGATGTTCATATTTTTAGATTATCTTTATGTATTGAGACACAAGCCTCAAGCTCCAGCATCCGATTCCTCTCCATCCAGTGGAGTAAAGCTTCCCCGACACCAGGTCGAGGATATAGGAGATGACCCTATAAACCACACGCCATCGTATCTGAGGCCCCCGAAGACCTTGCTGTGGTCGCCCATTCAAATCACAGACTTGTAATGAGTAAGTTGGCACACGCCACAGACGTGGAACCGAAACACAACCGCAACCACATCCTCGGAACCTTCCAGATAGATATCGCGCAGTAAGGCAGCGGTCGTCACATGCCAGACACGACGCCAACCACCCTGCCGCTGTTCCTACTCCTTTCAGTGCCAGCCAGTGCATCATGGATGTAGTAGGAACGGGTGTTCGAAGGTATGCAGTGTAGAAGACTCGCTTCAGTCATTGCAGCACCTCAAGTGCCACCACGGCATTGCCAAAAGAGATTCCAGCGTGTATCCCAAACCTTGCATACCTGCCGCGAGGCATTCCGATCTTGCGAAAATGCGGGACTGTATCCGACCCCGGGATATCTCTTATCTTCCATCCAGCCAGGCCTGCCGCTGATGTATAGTCCTAAACCCACAAACTAATACTCGACATAGGAGATTAGTAGGAAAAACAAAATCACAACGCTTGCTGTAAGATCAACCCTGTCCCGATATTATTCCGTGTCCCGTGTAGTCCAGTGTCAAATGCAGAGTGGTATCCTTGTGTCGCTAAAAGTTCAATCAAAAACTCCTTAACTCAAATGCTCAAGATCTTTGTTCACGCGGACTCATGCCGCACCTTTTCAGTCAACCGTTGATGTTTTCGAAGAGCATAGCTGGTGGACGGCCATCAGCGTTGCAGGATATTGTGCAGGCGGAACGGAGTGAAGGTTCTGTTCCGAGATCGATCACATGGCAGTGGCATATGGCATCGTGTATTCTTGGTACCGATCCCACCCGAACGTGCTCAAACCCGCAGAGGTACTGCAGGGCTGTGGAGTGAGCATGCTGGGGAGAGGAAGCGGCGCAAACGATGTTGTTGTTGTCGGAGCGCTGTAAGCGGGTGCGCTATAGTATTGAGTCGTGTTGAATGCCGCTGTGGAGTAAGGTTGGCTGAAGGAAGGCGTCGGCGATGGAAGTTGTATCTCATTCACGCCCACATTTGACCAGATGTTGTGGTGTGAGTCGCAAGATGAGACGGGACTGGGGCTTGATGGGACAATCTTCCATGCCTCAACGGGAGCAGGTTGTATGGCGTGCAGATGTTGTGATGGCCACCATTGTTCCGTGCCGGTCGAGCTTGGGAGCAGAGGAGTTGGGCGAATGACATCGATAATTCTCGGAGGTGGAGGCAAAAGAGGTACAAAGAGGCCCATGATGGCGGTGCGCACTTCGTCGCTTCGGCCACAAAGCAGCTCACCAGCACCGTCTTCCTCCATGCCTTCCAGTGCGAGGGCGCTCGTCCGGTAGACAAACTTGTTGGCGGCCTGCACGAACTCCTCCTGCAATTTCTTGAGCTGCTGTTCCTTCTCCGACCACTCCCATGTGTTGGCGTTGGTGTCGACGGAGAAGACTTCCTTGTGATACTCGACCAGCGAATCAATCGTGTCGGTCGTCAACTTGAAGGCGACCTCGTTCTGCGAGACCATGTCGACATGGACGACGTAAGCCTCAACGTGGATAAGTTGGTAGTTGAATAGAGCCTCCACCAGAGGGTTTGAATCCTTCTTCAACTCTGACTCGGGCGCCTTGGGCACCATTAATGAGCACAGTGACCAGATGGCATTAGGTGAGGACAGAGTCTCGGTCAGACACCGCGTATGTTGGGGCACACTGTTGAGAGGTCGCTTGATCTTGTTGATGCGCTTGAGCGTGGCCGTCAACCAGGGTTCGACCTTTGTGTTGAGCACCACATTGCAGGTGGATCGCGGCGCAAAGGCGGCTGCTGAGGCGGGTAGTAATATCGTCGGCATTATGAGTTAGGGATGGGTTTTTCTTTTCTTCCAAGTGACCAAAATCGGTTCTTCGTTTTGGGAGATGCAGGATTTCTTTTGATTGTTCTCACAGAGACATTCGACACTGACGGGAAGGAGAAGGGCTGACCAGGCAGAAGCGACGAGATATATAATAGACGACGAAAAAGACGATTTAGGGTAAATTGGATGAATGATTGTGTAGATTGAAGTGTATCTCTGGGCGGTCCCAACAAGGGAAGTAGTTTGCGCGCCTTAGCAGAGAGTGGTTCGGAGATGAAGTGGTAGGGGAAGAGGTGGTGATGGTGGTGGAGGGAAAGAGTGGTAGAGTGAAGAGGGCGGGGATGACGAAAAAGGCAAAGAGATAGAAGGAGGAGAGAGCCGTACCTTATATCCAGCGAAGGGACAAAGAGTCGTTGACGGAACTGATAGGCTGGACAGAGTAAAGCTAAAGATGGGGGACCTGGCCGGTCAGGCGCAGCAAAGCGTTATGCAGTTGGATGGAGACATGGGTGAGAAGAAAAATTGTGGATACAGGTCTTCTCCATCAGCAGCAACACGAAAGGATGGGAGCCACTTTTGGAGGGGACTACTGGCACGGGCAGCACGGGCCTGAGGCTTTGGGGGCTTTTGGGGGGGGGGGATGAGGGATACGAGAGGATGTGATGATAATTCACACTGTACAAGGTGAGAAAGGGGGACTGTGAGTACGAGTACTTCTGACTGAAGCGAGCGAAGAAGCGAATAAACAAATCAAGCAACCTAGTATCATGATACATCTCAATCAGGAACAGCTTTGCAGTAACGCCAGTAAAGAGGAGTAAGAAGAAGCGGGAAGAGGGCAAAAAGAGGCAAATTCGGCAAAGAGCGAACGGCAAAGGCGACGACGAGGCGCAGCCCCCAAGGGAAGCCAGGAAGCCAAGTCAGGAAAGTCTGAAAAGTGAAAGTCATTCTCACGCAACAACTCAACAGTCGAAACTCAACTCACTCCCTCGCTCAGGCGAGGCCGAGAATCTCAAGGGCTTCCCCATTTTTGTCCCCATTACTCATTCGCATCCCAGCTGCTCCCCTCCCAAAGCCCACTTTTCCACCTTTTCCCTTTGGAGATTCCCTTTTCGCCTCTTTTCCCATCAAGCCAAAACCCACACCAAACCCACACAATCCGTCTCAACTCACGCACGAATACTACTTGCTGGCTACAGGGCCAAAGGGCCACACTGCTGCATTGCTGCATTGCACGGCGTCCCGGTTACGGATGGCCCCCCTCCCTTCCTTCTGATGCCGAGCCTGCACCTCCGAGTGTGCAGTTACTTGCACTGCAGACTTGAGCGAAGAACCTGGGATCTGAACCTGACCCTAACCTGCACTTGCATTCACGCTACTGCACGTTCGACCTACTTTCGTTCCCTGCTGAGTGTCGACGGTACAAGTTGGTGTCTGAGCCCTGTCCGCAGGCCATTCGTCATCATCAAAAGTCTCGCAAATGTTCCAGCTCGGCCTGTTCTCCCACCCTCTTCTCGCCCCCTTCCCGGGCCCCCCTTCCGAGCTGGGCAAGAAAAAACAATGACACAAAAGACAGCATTGAATTAGCTGCATATGCAAGATCAGACGCTCCTCTCACCCAGCTTCACCCATCCTCGTCATGTAACTGGTGGCCTGCTTACCACGGCCATTTTGCTTGAAATCAACCTGGCTCACTTAAGCGCACCAGCATTGATTGCCAATATCAAGTTTGATCAAGGCTTTGTCAAATATGTATGAATACACGTGTACGGAGATTGATCCTGGCCTCGCCCTACGCCCCCCCAAATGTCTCCCAACTTCCGCTCGTATCCAGCTTCCTGGTCCTGGTACTGACCCTGGTAAATGGCGCCTGGATCAGCAAGCCGCAAACCGCCAATATATCCAATTCACTGGCGGCCAACCCTCGTAACTCTACCGTTGACACGGCTCTCCCCGTGAGGACGCGGACTTCGAGATGGTCTCGCCTTCTAGAAGACTACTTGAACTTGAACTGCTCCGAAGCCACCTACACTGTCTCCAGATTGCCATCCCATCCCGTCCCAAACCCTGGCGTCCGGCCTCCTTCGTAAATGCGAGGCACTTTTTCTTTTCTGCAAGAGGGACCTGATCAGCAGTTACGAGTACGGCCACCTGAGGGGTCTTTCAATTTCCAGAGTTGTTCAATCACGGTCCAGGTAGACCAGACTCCTGAGTCCCTGATGGCGCACCTTCACGTAGCATGTTGGTGGCATCGTCAGAGACTTGGGGGAGGAGTGACCTTTGCTGTATCGCTGTTGGTAAACTCTTAGGCACATGCACAGCAACTCCAAAAGCTTTACGTATGCCGGGCCTGGAGCGGTTGTCTCAAGAGATCAGGAGTCTTTGGCCCCCCGTCGATGCGATTTGTAGACCCGAGTTCGTGGTACGATGACCCTCGTTTCACCACCTCACAAACCCGACCTCTGGGGATTCGCCTCTGGGGGTTGCGGCCTCCAGGACAAAACGAAGGGATCTAGGCGCAGGGCCAGAATCTCGCCCAGCGGACAAAGTTCAGAAATCGTGCTGGCTGGGCTCGGGTGAAAATGATGACTGGCGGAAGGCAAAGAATGCACAACCAGTCATTGACATAAGATGTTGTGTGGTTGCCAATCCGCCCGAGTTAGCGGGCGGAGGACAGCTGAGGTGATCCTCGTCGGAAGGCACTTTTGCAAATGTATTGGCTGGTGATCATGGACAATGGTGTGGCACTTTATCTCAATATCCCTGCTATGCCTTCCTATTGGTTCCACAGACTGTTAAGCTACCTGTGGCCTTGGAATGGCATCATGTGACAGCCACTGAAGTCGTGCCCACCAACTGACTGGGACGATAGTCCGGAGACGCAAGGTACAAGTCTGTCGCAGCAGCCGCCGACATTAGTTTCTAGGAGTAGATCGACAAGCTGCAGGTTTCAGTCCGGGGATCTCAGACAGTGACGACGGTGCTGCTCCCAAAACAGAAAGGGAGGAGAGTAGGAGAAATCGAGAGGCAAGATGCGAATGAGATCGACCACCGGGGAAAGCGAGGTTGGAAACAGGCTGGCCCCTGTCTAGCTGGGATGTGGGTGCCCGACCAAGGTCTTGTGGCTGTGCACGTGCATGTGCAGAGAGAAATGATGGAAACATTGCCTGCGTTGCCTGCCTGCATGCATGGCCTGCACAGCCTCATGTTGCGCCTCACGCCTCATCGGCACATCCGATCACGTGCATTAACTACTTGTTTTCCCGAGGCTCAAAAGGTACGCAGGTACTTTTGCCTGCACTGCGCCACCTTTTGTGTTGCCGATCATGTGAGATCCTCTTCGCCTTACCATCTTTCAACGAAAGAGCAAGGAAAAAACATTGGGCAGCAGCAATGGGATGACGATACACAGCACGCAAGGTGCGGGACCGCCGCAACTTCGAGTTGAGGATCTTTTCTTGTCGGTGTGTCCATGCATACCTGTTGTGTACATCTCCAAGCGACTAACCATCTTAGAAGTGACCAGACTGCGACCAGCGATCCTTGCTTCGTGTCTGCAGGTGGCTTTGTCTGACCGACTATTTCCCGGCTTTCCTCAGACTGTGACTTCGTGTGCCTGCTTCAGCTCGACACTGGATTGTCCAGTCTTCCGGGCCTTGGCTGGCCCAGGTCTTTTCCAACCCTATGATGTGTTCAGACTTCGAAGTCGAACAGCATGTCGTGTCCTCCGAGTGAATTTGGTCGCTGGTGGTCTCCGTACTTGGCACAGTGATCACCTTGTCTCATCTCACCCTTTGAGTTGTTGGTTGCATTGTCAGCTGAGATTACTCACTTCCCACCTTCAAGAAAATTTCCAATGGCATCCATGAGTGCGCACACAGGTGGAGGACTATCGCAGAGCTGTACCCCCGGCTGGCGCAAACAACGATGCAGCAAAGCAACATCATCTGGTCGCTGACATCGAAAATGACATGTGAGTTACTGAGTGTGGTGTCGATTGCCACGAGCGGGCAACGTATCCGGCACCTTCGGCGGTCAGGATTCACCACAAATCCCCTGCCTGGTCGCACAAGACGGCTTCGGCAGAATACAGTTGATGGCGAATGCCCGCAATGTGGATCTTCTAGGACGTTGCACTACATTCCCACTGTACACTCCAAGTATGATGAATGCGGCGTGATCCGGTTGTGCTTGTGTTTGCAACAATGGGGACAACCGTCGAAGGACGTCATCGGCGGTACTTTCCAGTGCCAGATAAATTTGACCCAGATGATGTCTGTGCTACAGGCTTTGCATTCCTGGGACCAGAACAAAGTTCACTGCCGTCGCTTGAGAGAACTGACTATACGGGCAAAGAATGGAAACGGACGTTTCGTCAAATTTATCATGGACCTGGTGAAGTTGGGTAACACTGCTCGACAGTCTTTAATCACTGCTTATCCACAGGAAACTTTACGATGACCCAGTGTTTGCTGTTTGACATGCCTGCAGAGTGCACCTATCTGAGTACGAAGACAAACACAATGAAAAGAGAAGCACCTGTGCAATCGGCTACAGTCACGAGGCCTTCATAGGCCCAAAGAAGACTATGATTGCATTGGAAGCTCTGGTCAATGAAAGGAACACGACACATGACGAACCAAGTGAAGTCTAAGCGGGAGCAGTAGAATAGGCTGTGAGCCACTAGCACAAGCATGGAGTCATTTCTGGGGATGCTTTTTCCACGCGAGTTAACCTGGGGGCTTCCTGAAAAGGACTTCCTCCCATCTCCCCTTTTCCCACGGCAGCCTCGCCAGCGATACACCTTGGTAGCTTTTGGTGCGGACAAAGGGACGAAGGGAAAAGGGGCAAAGGGCCCAAGGCTGAAGACAGGGCGCCAAGCAACACGCAGAGGATATTTTTAGATCCGTAGGGCCGACTTGCTCTGCCCTTTTGGTCAAACAGTCGAACTGTTCGGGGAATTATGAACCCGCACGTGCGGATTTATACCCAATCAGGTCTGAGCGTCGGGGTTTGCCTGACCGGCCCCCGACATGTGCTGAGTCGAAGGTCGGATGGAGCTTTCCCTTTTTCACCACCTAAAAAATAATTGAACAACTTGGTCAACATCCTATCTTTCTCCCTCCTACCGAATTTCGGCATATTCGATTTCCTCTGGGCCGTTTTATTTGTCCTTGTTGCGGATATCTCTCTTCTTTGCAGCGTTGGGGTTTCGGGTACTTCATTCTTCGACTTGGTGGACTTTTCTCCAACTCAGGGGTAATTACCACCACGACCCGGACAAGGTGTTATAGCTCTTTTTCCAGCTAGGAACAGCTTGTTCGAATAATCTCCTGGACAATTCCTTTGTTCGTTTTCGAGTGTTCATCAGCAACCAAGTCGATCAGGATCAATATGTCAGGGTATTTCCGTTCTTCACTCAGGGTTGCCGGTGCAGCAACGGTGGGAGCTACAGCGGGCTATACAGCATGTCATTACTGGAACACGACCTTCTTCCGATTCAACACTGTTCATGCCGAATCTCCTCCCTCAGATGCCAAGGCAGCACTGAAGAAAATGGAATGGAAGGGTTTCACAGAGCTCAAGCTCGAAAAGGCTGAAATGGTCAATCACAATGTCAAAAAACTGACTTTTGCTTTGCCTGACGATTCCTCAATCACCGGGGTCCCCCCAGTCAGTACGTGTGATCTGCTGTCCACTTTTCGAGAGCTAGGACTGTCTAACCTTTTCTTCAGCATCTCTCTTGACTAGACATACTCCCGAGGGTGCCTGGGTCCCAGTCTTCCGACCATATACTCCTGTCAGCGCCAACGGTAAGCTTTCGGATCTGTCCATGGTTGTAAATGGGCGTGGAGCTGATTATATAATGTGCAAGACCAACCTGGATATGTCACGTTCATGGTCAAGAAGTATCCCAACGGCAAGGGGTCCGGCAAAATGCACTCTTTGAAGCCAGGTGATTCGATGCTGTTCAAGCCTCTTCACGAGTTCGACTACAAGCCGAATCAATACTCCGCTATGACCTTCATTGCTGGAGGGTCTGGTATCACTCCGATCTACCAGTTGACCCGGGCCATCCTCAACAATCCCGAGGACAAGACCAAGATCGCTTTAGTCTATGCAAACAACACTGAGGAGGACATTCTGCTAAAACCTGAATTCGATGAACTGGCGCAGCAATTCCCTGACCGTTTCACGAGGACCTACACCATCAGTAAGACCACCCCTGAAAACGAGGGTCTCTACCACCAAGGCTACGTGAACAAGACCGTCCTGAGCCAGGTGATGCCTCACAAGATGAACGAACGGAATGTCAAGGTTCTCGTCAGTGGGCCTCCTGCCATGATCGAAGCTGTGGCTGGCGCTAAAGGTGGCTTTGGATGGACTCAGGGTAGCCTGGGTGGCATCCTTGGAGAGTTGGGGTATACCAAGGAAGAAGTGCACAAATTTTAGAGATTTAGCACGTTGCAGGGACGGGATATTATCAATTCATTGTCTATATTACTAAGACTGGGTTCAACACTGGTTTCTTACCGGCACATGGAGAGGCGCTAGATATAGAATAGATAGACAGATGCTCGAGGCGAGGGGGCAAGTGGCTAGTCTTCTCGGCTTGGAGTCTAGCTACGAGCAATTTTGGTGTTCTCAAACATCACGGACCGTGACATCCGTCGCAGAAAGTTCAGAGTTAGAAGCTTTGTATCGCCGATTTTGGACCTTCAAAGGGTGGAGGTCTGGTACATCCCAGTTGCTGCCAGAGGACGCCATAACCGCGTCTTGGATGATGGCGGACCCTCTTTAGTCAACCGAGTCCAGTGTGATGGCCCTGGAAGATAGAAGAATAGGACCGGCTGAAGGCTAAACATGCGCTGATCGCTGCAACCTCGAAGAGAGCATTGATACTGGATTATTGCGATGGAAGTTCTCGGGAGACTCGTTTCGTCCGAACGGCCCGGCCATATCGGTTGGTCGGTTGCATCATCCAAACCCCCCTCGCGCTCTCGGCCCCTCACTTCGCACCAGTTTCCACACGCTTCTCAACAAGCTTGTTCCGTCCCCATGCTCACATCTCTATCGCCTACGCAATTCCACGGCCGTCTTCGAACCAGCGAACCAAACACAAGAGAATTGCGGCCGGAAATGGAAGGAACCCACTAAGAACACCTGGGGACGCGTTTGCTTTGTTCGCTACTCATGTGAAGAAAAGAAGGTGACGTCCCGTGCTCTTCCTCGACCATGCAGGCCTTTGGTGAGTTCCTTCTCTTTTCTTTCTGATCCAAGGCGATGGTGATGATGCTGGAGGAATTCTCCTCCACGCTGCGAGGAACATGCTGCGAAAGCAAGCGCTGATCAATCTGGCATTCTCAGTCCCCAAGAATCGCAAGGTATGTATGTCATGCGTCGCGAGCTGCTCCATCGTCTCTGTCGTCGGCTTGCGCCACTTTCCACCTTCCTGAAGCCCTTCTCCGCAACAGCTAGTGACCGCCAGGCTAATTCGTGTAGCCCAAATTCGACCTCATCCTGCGCATCATCGACTTGACCAACATTCCATTGATCTACGGTACCGCTTGCGTGAGATGGCACCTCTCCTCTTCCAACGCCGCGGAGCACCGCGGGCGAACCGATAAGGCCCCGATTGAAGAACACAAGGCAACATGGGATTATTGGAAGGAAATACCGGTGCGTCTGACCATCGACAAGACGGGCATGCTCCAGGAGTGCGACATCCACTTTGAAGTTCTCCAAGAATTCCATGAAGGCGGAAGAGGTGGTCGCGTACATCTGGGCAATGTGAAACTCAACCTGGCCGAATACACTCGACTACCGGATCTACCGCCCGCAGACCGCGATCCGCAAGATGAAGCCGATGATGGAAGCATCACGAGAAGATATCTCCTACAGGACAGCAAGGTCAACAGCACGCTGAAAATTGGGATCCGAATGAGGCAGACTGAGGGCGACTCTAATTTCATAGCACCTCCACTGAGGTCAGCGATGGTGGTCGGTGGCATCGCGGGGGTCTTGACCACAGAGGCCGGCGAAGGAGACGACATCCCTAGCATCACCAGCAAGACGAGAGAGTTGTCAGAAGCTCAGGATATTTATCGACGAACGCTGGCAGCGACGTGGGCATGTCAATCCGGAGAACTACCTCCGGATAAATTGATTGAGAACCTGTTTGCGGGAGGAGACGGCGGAGTACGACCACAGTCGTCCAGTAGCAAGGCTAGCAATCAACAACAGCAACAACGGGAGCAGCAGCAGCAACATCAACAACAGAACACCAGGCTTGGTCTGCGTGAAGAGAACGGCAGCAGTTCAAGCAATGAGCCCAGGAGACCCGTCACTCCACGCCAATTCTTGACACCCCAGGTATTTGCCAGCGGAATCAGCCACGGTCAGGGGCACCGACGCGGATCAAGTCGAGATTCTCCCACCCTACAAACAACTGCCGCGGGTGCCGTCAGTGGCCGAGCAAGCATCGAGCAGCAAGTCCATGCGAGCCAGCAGGAACATCGCCGGCGTGATCGATCAGAATACCACGAGTTCACCGAGTTTGATCTCCGTGATGATTTACGGAGCTGGGAAATCGGAGTAAGATGATGAATCACTTGAAGAAATTACGCGCAAATATATATTGTGTCCCACTCACCACTCACCGATGCTTGGGGCAAGACGGGTCTTCCAGCTGCTCTCCCGTCAGACCTGCTCGCATTGGTCCTTCTCCTCTTGGGGAAGAGATGAAAGCCACTCAAAGCTTGCCCCAGATGGGGAGAAGACCTCGTCAGGCGTGATATCACCTGTGTTTCTGACAGCCACAGAAGCCGGAATAACGGTTTTGTTGGACGACGAAACCGGTGTTCTCAACACAAATTTTACTGTCGACCTTACCGAGGACGCTTATTCATAAAGGGAACGTAAAAGAAGACCAGTCATCAAAGAGCTTTACGAAGCCTGCTGTCGGTATTGAACGTTGTTATACTCGGTATACGTATATATTACCAAAGCTCGAGACGTCGGGCCATGTCTAGTATCATTCTGATCATAGTGTTCATCATGTTAGCAATAGAAGGCATTGTTTTTCCGCATAGATTGTGTCACAGTCTCGAATGTGGTGTGCGATTGACCGAGTCCTTGTCCAGAATCTGCAAGTCCACAACTGTGGCAGTGGTGGTTCAGCAGACCGTTTACAAGGACTCGGTCCAATCGGGCAAGGATTTTGATATTGGTAGGTGTCACGTTTACAGTTGAAATGTTTCTCAGATAGGTAGCTATTCCGAGTATTTACGCCATCTTTACCCTGGGCCTTGGGCGACACTTTTCCAATGATGGGGAATTCGTCAACTGCGTACGTGCTTTCAACGTAGTGAACAACCAAAGCGCGTGCCCATTCTTCCCCTTGAACAAAGCGCCATAGTCGTGGCATTTCATGCACGACATATATGTTAGCACGTGCCACCAACCGGGTTCATGTCTGCCTGCGGTGCCAGAGAAATCTAGCCAGGGCCAGCCTCAATCCGCTGGGGACTGCAGCATCGATCTGCAGTCGTGTGCAACGACGATGGCACGGTGTAGCGGCACACCAGCTACCACACGAAGAAGTCGACGAAGACCACACGCATCCTCCTCCTCCTCCTCCTCACCCTGAAAATGATTTAAAATCCCAACCAACAACGCCCCCTCGGCCCAACTTTCGACGTCACAATTTTCGAAAATGGAAACCCAAACCCACCGCGCAACTTGGGGTCAATTCCCTCGGTACGCCTGCGGAGGTGTTGCTGCTACCTACGCGCGATCGACGAATACCCGAAGTCCCCAAGGATGAAGGAACGGGCAAAATGCTGGGCAGCACATTGGAGGAGTCCATCAACTCGGAGAGTGCCCCCTTGAGTGGACCGAAGTTGGTAGAGAACATCGAACACGTTCGCTCTCTCGTGGGCAAGATGCGCGGGCAGCTGGAAAAACACGAGTGGACGACCCTGAAGAGGCAGCTGCACACTGGGTTCCAGAAACAGCAATTGACAAAATATATTCGCTTGCGCAAAGGCAACCTCCCCGTCACCGAGGATCTCGAGAAATACAACAAGAGGGAAATCATCAAATACTTGGTCGAAGAAGTCTGGGGCTTTACAACGCCGGTTCAGGACGATCCCGTTTCTACCGGCAAACAGTCGAAGATGGTCATCGCCCTGCACGAGCCTATCAAGTTCGACCATCTCCTGATACATCCGAGTCAGCCACTGAAGAAGATTGCCGAGGAGCTGGATGTCCAACTTGATGTCTATCCGTCTCAATACAAGATCAGAGCCACAGGATCCAGATCCAACGCTCAGCAAGCCTTGCAGAGAATCTCTCGATATGTAAAAAATCTGGGACAGATTGTTATACCACTACATGACACCCACCGGGACATGTACCAGGATCCTGCTACCAGGCAGTATTTGACTGCGTACCTGAAATCGATTCAACGGAAATACCAAGGGTTGAACATTGGCATGGACGAGCAATGTATCAGAATCGTCCATCTCGGGAACCAGCGCGGCGCTGACCAGGCCCGTCGCGAGATTTTACTTTCTGTGCCAACGGGGACTACTTTGGGAGAGTCAGTCATCTGGCCACGAAAGGTTACGTCGGCAATTGCCCACCAACCATTCCCTACTCCGTCTGAATTTCCTGCGCTATTGCATCACACACAATGGCTGAGGTTGGTGTCTATCTCCCCAAGTCCGCCGACTGGGAATGCTGGTACCCGCAAGGAGGCTGCTCTTACACCAATTCTGCAGGGTCTCCGGGGTGCGTTCGACCCAGTCGCTAACGTTGGCAGTGAGGGTAATCGGCAAGAACTTTACCATAATGTGACAGCCAAATTTGGGCAAGCTTTGACCAAAGAGGTACTGCAGGCTGCCAACGGTGACGCTGCTAAGCGCGTTGCGGTCGATTCACAGAAGCAGGGAAGATATTTTGTGGGAGGAGGGCCCTTTCTGGCACAGCATCTCGCACTTATGGACCCATGGATTGATCCGCCATCAAACCCTGCGAACGACATAGACCAACATGCGCGTGCCATACTGCGCCTCGAACTCTCGCCTGTTCTAACCTCGACCGATTTGCCGGCTTTCGAAATATTTGTCACGGCAGGTGAAGCTGTGGGGGGTCAGCGTCCTCGACTCAAGGTCGTCCGGGTGTCAGCCATACACCAGGAGAAACATTTTACAGTGCTGTGTCCACACACTCGTATGGACGTCCTGCTCACGCAGCAACTCAAGCAGGACCTCGCCTACCCTGGATCTTCCGAAACTGATGTCGTGCAAGCGTTCATGAATGCCCTGCGTGTCTATATCGGTAATGCGCAAGGACACGGTTCTTCGGATTGGGTGTTTCGACCATTTGTCACTTTGCAGGTACCATTTGGTTTGCAAGAGGCACGTAAACAAACTCAGCAGGCCGCCGTTCTAGATGCACGACAGGGAACTCGCAGCGGTGGAAAAAGAAAAGGCGCAAAGAGCCCTGCCGGGACTACTGAGAAGAAACAGGAATATATTCTCCGATCAGTTGATGTTGTTGATGTTGATTCACGGCTTTTCTCAGTGGAGTCAGCCTCCAAAATGCCCAAGACCAAGGCCAATCCCAAGTCCACGTCTAAGCGTACTTCCATGTCAACAGCAAGGTTTTGCTTGGACCACGTCACATACACCGGCGCGGCTGGTACCAGACAAGAGCTTCGTCTAGCAGAGCGACCACTGCTGAGTCCCCCAACCTTCGCACAGCCGGATCTGCCTGTGTTTGTGAGGGCAGCGTTGGACTTGGTGAAGAGGCTGGACAATGACCCTATGAAGGCCATCCCAGCCAAGACGGCGGGCTGAGCACGGTTGAAAGGTGTGTGAGAACTAGGAAAGCTAGCAAGCACCTGCACAGTCACCGATGGACTATTGGAGGATATGCGGATACGCGCAAGCACGATGCCCGTCCTCACACAACAGACAAGCATGAGCGTTGCAAATTCTCGATCGGGAGATCCACATGTCATCCAGAATATAGAGGGGCTTTCTGTCATCATTGTTCGATGTATGCTACCAACGATACCCATGGACATCGGAGTTTATGTACTCTCCTCATCACCCGTCCAGTCCCGTCCAGTCCAATCCATCAAGCAACTGTGACAATCTAGTCTGGGTCATATCTCTCGATATATCCATATCTATACCTATCCACGTGTCAACCCTGTACACTAGAGCAACAGCCAAGCCAGACAAACCCCAAGACCAACGGCATACTTCTTGTCGATATAAGAACGAACCATACCTAGGGAAGAATTGTAAGCTTCAGACGGGCCGCCGGTCAAGTCTACCTCTCTATCTCTCTCTGTATTATAGAATTCAATTTTTGTTTTGCCAGAGACTCGAGAAATCGAAGGAGATATATCCCCAATGCATTGTCCTTCTAGCTTCCAAGTGGATCAGATAGATAGGTCCTTGTCTCCTTCCTTCCCTTACCGAAACGCCAAGTGCGGATGACAATGCTAATTACCTCCCCCTCGTCGTCCCGTTCAGGGTTCAGGGTCAGTCGCGGTCCGCGACAACAGCCTCTCTTCATCGTCGGCGACTGCGCGACGGGAAGTACTGGCACCAGTGCCGCTCTCGTCGGTCTCACCCGCATTGGTCAGTCTCTCACGCTCATCCACGGTATCCCATCCTCCCGGACCTTCTTCGCCACTTTGTGCAATGGCCCCTGCTGCCTTCCTCCTGAATTGTTGCATCTCGTTCTCGTCTAGTGCGCGGACATTGGTCGACTCAAAGTCCCGCGCGTCGATCCTCTTGGCGAACAAGATATCCAGCTCTTCGTAAGTCCGGTCCTTCGTCTCCGGTAACCTGTACCACGCCCACACCCACGTCAGCATGGCCGTGGTGCCCCAGAATAAACCAGTGTAGCCGCTCCAGTTCAGTGCCTGCGGGTTCATCATGTACGGCTGCACCACCCCTCCTATGAAGCCGACGAGGTAATAAGCGTTGCGGGCGAGACATATCGTCTTGGTCCGAAGGCGCGTAGAGGAGACTTCTCCGGGAAGGGACCAGCCCAATTGTCCAACTGAAAGCTGGAAGACGATGGTCCAGACCAGGGTGAGCAGGGCTTGCGTGAATGCAATGAAGACGAGGGAGGACCAGATATTCAAGACGCCAATGACATAGAGAATGAGCGCCATGACTAGCATTGAAGTGGTGTAGATTCTTCGACGGCCGAAGTAGGGCATGACGAGGAACCAATTCGCCAGCGTCGCCAGCAGTGCCAAACCAGTGCCGAAGAGACTCAGCGTGTACGTCATCTCGGCACTGAGGCCAACCTGTTCGTAAAAGTATGTCGCATTATAGCCAAAGGACAGCCCAGAAAAGTTTTGTCCCGCAAAACACATGCACGCGATCTCGGTGCGTCGGAGTTCGAATCCGCGGAAACAGTCAACGTAGGACGTCCCGATTTGCAACGATTGTTCCAGGTTATTTGTGCGGACGATGTCCGCGAGTGTATCTTTGGGATCGATCTTGGCTGTGCGCGACTGAAGGCGTCGGAGCGATTTCTCCGCATCCTCGAGACGCCCCTTTCGGACGAGGTACCACGGTGATTCTGGTGCGAACGACAACAGAGGTATGAGGAAAGCCGGCCATATCCATTGAAACCCAAAAGGTATTCGGAATCCCCACTCGTCGTCCCTTTCCAGAAAGATCCGTAGCACGATCGCACATATGATTTGTCCAATGATGAAGCTCATGTTGGTGAAACTCGAGAGGTAGGCCCGGAGCGCCATGGGCAGCACTTCGCTGGAGTAAGATGGTGCAACCGTCGCGAAGATACCCCATGGAAACCCACACAAGAATTGCCCGATCATCAGGACTACTATGTTGGGGGCAAAGAAGGTCATGAAGATGAGACAAGACAGAACGCACAGGGCGCCGATGAGCACTCGTTTCTGGCCAAGTCGGTCGACAAGATAGCCGTTCAATATGGTTCCCAGGACAGCGCCGACGCCAGATGCTGTTCCAATCTATGGTTTACATTTTAGTTCCAATCGCAGCTTCACACTAAGCAGGACCGAGGTGCAATGTAGAAAAAAAAATGAGGCTTACCGCAGCCATCCAAGTTGCACTGAGCTGATAGCCGGACTTCGTCTGCTCGGTAACTCCAACGAATTCACCATCTGCAACAAATACTTAGCACAAGGTAGCCCCTATAAGTGAGGGGATGGGGAAGGTTGAGACGTACATTTTCGTTGAAAGGTTGGATATGCATAAAAGTTAGGCACCAGAACGCTGTCAAAGCCTTCCATGATCACGCAGGTGCTGACTGCCAGGGACCAGAACACGGCCATGGGGTAGGCTTTGAGAGCTTCTCGTACGGTCAAGTTGTGTTCAAATTGAGAATACTTCGAGGCAGCTTGTTCGAGCCTTCTATTCTCCTCTGCCTCTTCGTCGCCATGCCACTCCTGGCGCAAGGGTAACTGGCTCGCGCTTCCATGCTGGTAGAAGTCCCGTCCTTGGACACTGTCCTCGGTAGCTTCTACGTCTGCTAACAGTGGGCGATCGCCCGAATGGTCGTCGTCCTCAAGACTTGTCCTCGATGGGGTGCTGGGGACGGATTTATGGTCTGGATTTCTCGGTCAGGTACATCCCAGCCTTGTGAACTATTCTTCAGCTGGGAGTCTTTACCATTCATTTCAGCCGGCTGAGCATCCTCACCGCTGGTGAAGGAACTCTACCCTTCCTTGGCCACCGGAGGGAGTGAGGCGATAGAAGCAGTGTGCCTTGCTCCCGCCGAAGGGTATTGGTGGAGGGATGTTTTGGAACTAGCCAATGGCCAGAAGAGACAAGAGGACGGAATCCACAAAGTTAACGTCCCGGATCTCTGTGGGTCATAGATGCGCTATTGGCATTGGCAATGGTAATTTAGTACTGATCGGGATAGAGGCCGAAAAGGTTTGAACGTCCCTCTGTGCGCTAATCGGACGTGGCGAAGGATTCCCCAGCAGCAGCAGATTCGGGGAAATAGATGGATTCGCGATTTGAAGTGAAGGAGAGGTCAGCAACTGCGTCTGATGCAGAAAAACCCCAGGAAGCGAATTACGCGGACTCGGCGGAGCTTGTGGGAAAGGGGGTCAGCGGGATTGATTGCACGTGGTTGGCCCAAAGTCTCGGCAAGTTTGTTAGTGGCGGAATTGGCAAAACGCGAGAAAGAGAGACAACTCAGCAATATTACTGCTTCACACTGCATCCAACTACCACATGGCAACACTTTGGCAGCCAAAAATGCCGATATTGCATTTCTCATTCGCCAACTGTTTGGCCCGGCTCTTCCCCCTTTGCAGTATGCCGCTCCTTGCGCGACCGCCTTGACGAGAGAGAGTCCACTGCACCGGTCATGTCCCGCAGATCTGCGAAGGCTTTTGCTTCCTGTGTAGTTCCTGATCTATAAAATGGCGAGCCTGGCGTCCCTGAGCCTACCAAGTGGCCTACCGTTTGTTTCGTCATTCGTTTACCACATAAAACGATGTTGCTTCTGTTGGCACCAACCCTTTTAGCCACTTCGGTGTATGCAGTCAACAATGGTCTTGCTAGAACGCCTCAGATGGGTTGGAACAACTGGAATTCCCTCGGCTGTGATGTGTCCCAGTCGTTGTTGCTCGATACGTCCGAGGTGCTGCTGAACAGCGGCCTGAAAGACGTGGGGTATCAATATGTCGTCCTTGATGATTGCTGGTCGGATGGGCGTGACGCCGGGGGCTATCTTAAACACGATGCGAAGAAGTTCCCCAACGGCATGAAATGGGTTGCTAATGAACTTCAGCACATGGGTCTCCTGTTTGGCATGTATTCAAGTGCTGGAGAAATGACCTGCGCCAGATTCGAAGGCTCGCTTGACCACGAAGAGAAAGACGCAGAGATTTGGGCCTCGTGGGATGTCGACTACCTGAAATACGACAATTGTTACCATCGCGGCCGATTCGGCTACCCTGAAATCTCATTCAACCGTTACAACAAGATGGCCCAAGCACTCAACGCTACTGGTCGACCAATTCTTTATTCGTTATGTTCTTGGGGAGAAGACTATGTGCATACGTGGGGCATGTCTATTGCTAATTCCTGGCGAATGTCCGGCGATATCTATGACCACTTCAATCGTCCAGACGCTCTATGTGCGTGCGACGATCCTCGAGATCCGCACTGTGTCGCACCAGGAAGTCACTGTTCAGTGATGAATATCATCAATAAAGTTGCGCCCTACGCTGATCGCAGTCAGTTTGGCGGCTGGAACGATTTAGACATGTTGGAGGTGGGACAGGGTGGGATGACTGACGAAGAATACAAAGTATGGTAAACTCGATTCTGATTCATGGCTCTTCTGACTGGTGTTTTGATGTTTAGGCACACTTTTCCATGTGGGCAGCTCTGAAATCTCCGCTACTGATTGGGGCCGACATTCGCAAGCTGTCGTCCAAAACGTTGACAATTCTAAACAACCCGGCCGTAATTGCAGTCAGCCAAGATCCGCTCGGTCGGTCTGTTGCTCAGATATACCGGGATCAACAGGTCAAGAAGGACAAATATGGACAAGGCGAGGTCCAAATTTGGAGCGGCCCGCTTTGGCTCCACGACCAGGTTGTCATCTTCCTCAATGCAGCGGACGAGGATCTCGAAATGACAACCACCCTTAATGACATCTTTGTGCATGAAGGGCCTGAAGGTTCGGCGCCGCAGACCATGGAGGAATTTGACATCTACGACCTGTGGGCTGATCGCATGGACGATTCCACAGCTGAGCAAATTCTCAATGGAAAGGCTCAATACAAACGCTCGTGGTATAACTCGACTCTGACGCCGTACAAAGAGGGTCTGGCCAAGGCTGACCCGCGGCTTTTGGGCAAGCGTGTAGGCAGCATTGGACCAAAGCATGACGTTCTGCGAGCTCATGTACCACGGCATGGGATCCGCATGTTCAGACTGCGGAATTTGAGTGGTGGCTCTCCGAGATATGCCACGACCAAGAGTGAGCTCTAATACAGACAATCGACACGGTGGTGCTAGGTACTAAATGTTGTCAAGACAGGGAAATTGTATCTATGTACATGGATAGATGAAGCTGGCCGGTGCGATTGTGGGCATCTCGCCAAATCATTCTGCTTCACCGTCTGTCGCGTGCACCTCGTCTTTCCCCGCCTCGATTGTATTGATCCTTGCGCGTCTCCAACCCCGCTTCCTTCTTCGCCGCATCCTTGACACAACATTTGATCGCTCGCAACCGCATACTAGATCGATCTTTTTAGAAATGATCCCGATCTCTTCGCACTTTCGGTCATGTTTACGAGATCATGGCCACACCCTGCACGCGCCTCGAGAAAACGACTCGCAGACCCCTCCCGATCCAAGACTGTCGAACTCAGACACGGGCTGCTAGACCACAATGCGTCCTCCCACTGCCTGTGTCGTGTGTCGGTAGGTGACAATTCCTTTCCCTCCACAAGATCTAAATTCCCACCAGAACCCGCCGCCGCAAATGCGAAACCACCGCACCCGGGGCACCATGTGCCTATTGCAGTTCGCGTAAACTCAACTGCTCCTTTGCGTCTTTCCCTCCGATCGATACCACTTGGCCTACCCAGTCACAAACTACGACTCCCAATACCTCCGTGCCTGGCTCAACTCGGTGTCAATGTGTTACGATAGAATTGCCCTCTCAGTCTCTATGTGTAGAGCTCGCGAAACTGTATTTCCGCTACATACACGACACGTTCCATTCGCTCTTCCATCCACCCAGTGTGGTGGAAGAAGTCATCGACGGCACAATCCCAAGGGTCCTCCTGCTTGCGATGATAAGTCTCTCTGCCAGATTTTCGGAAGATGCCTTCTTCGCAGGAACGGATCCAAGAATTCGAGGTAGGCCATATGCCCAGGAAGCAGAGCATCTCCTCAACATCCGTGAAGTCTCCATGACGACGTTGCAGGCCGCCGTCCTTCTGGGAGCGTATGTTATCACTGAAGGAGAGGCAGCTGCCGAAGCGGTCTACTACAGCGTGGCCTGTCGCAATGCGCTGTTGCTTGATCTGCCCAACATGGCTGTTACGTCGAGGGTCGAGCAGGAAGTGAACCGGCGAGCATGGTGGACATTATGTATGATTGACGTCTGGTCTTCTAGAGGTGTCCGGATCCCCAGAATGCTGACACCCAGGAACGACGTCCCCTACCCCATGGAAGAGACGGTGTTTCACCGCCTGCGCCCCGATGGCATCGACATCCCCAGCCCATCCAGCCTGCAGGAGTCGCGTGCTTCGCTGCTGACGCAGATGATCAAGCTCAATGCGATTCTGTTCGAGATCAGCACCGTCAACGAACTTGCGGTATCCCGTTCCCACCTCGACACCCACCACAAAGAAGCCGTCGATGCACTCACAGCCAAGTTGGAAGGTTGGTACGACAATTTACCCACGGGGCTGCAGGACACACACGCAAACCTGTCGCGCTACGCCACGATCGGGCTCGGTCCAATGTTCGTGGCTGTCTATCTGGGCTACTACCACTACGGACAGTTATTGTACTATCCGTACCTCCACGAGGACTCATACGACGAGACCGTCCACGGGCGGTACTACGCCGACAAGTGCAAAGGCCACTCGATCGGGCTCTGCGAGATTCTGTACCGGGCATATTCCACCCCGGGCTGCGAGGTATACTACACCATGGTCGGACACGTGCTGGTGATTGCATCAACCGTCCAACTCCACATCCTGCTTTTCAGCACCGACGAGGTCCAGATCCGCACCGCGCGCTCGCGTCTCGAACGCAACTTTGAGATCTTGACCCGCCTGCAGACCTTCTGGCCCACCTTGGACGTCTGCTTTACGCGGTTCCGCGAGTTCCACAAGACATGTCAGAAGTACAAGGAGACGTCCTTTCGCATGGATCAATGGATGCTACAGTTCCTCTTCGAGTTTGGCAAGCCCGTGGGCGAAAAGGACCCGGATGATCTCGTGGAGCTCAGGCCGTGGTCCATGCAGGATTTGGGGTTCACTCCTCTTTCTTGACCCCCGAAAGAGATGAACTGGTTACATCTGAAGTGAATCAGACAACTCATAAGCTCTATAACAACCAAAGGTGGCTGGTTGCTCCTGGCTATACATTGTAGCCCGTCGATCTCCCAACATCATGAGATCGCTCACAGGCGTCACTCTCCAACCAGTAAGTCTGATACAACCCTCGCGCATCACATCATGCGCTTACAGACTTGCCTTCCCGCTTGTCTCGTACGGAAAGATAAAGCTGATCAATCCCGCGGCGATATACAAACTCGCCGAGACGAAAATGGGCGTGTTCGTGTAGCCGACATAAGTTGCGATGATGGGCGCCATCAGACCACAGATACGATTGAATGCTGCCGCCAACCCGCAACCCGTGCCTCGGTGCACGCTGGGGATGACCTCGGGCGTATAGCAGTACAAAGCTCCCCACATGCTACATGACCAGTCAGTGCATGAACCCAAACACGGTGACCCCAGAGTGCAACTCACATATACGAAACAAAGCTGGTGATGCAGTTGAAGGCGAGGATTTGTGCCTGTGTCCGTGCTGCCGTAAAGGCAAACTGGAAGACGGAGGTCAAGATCAGGGAAATACCAAGCGTGCCTCTTCGGCCAATATATGGCAATCCGATAAACCATCCCGCCATCAAAGTACCCGGAATGGAGCATGCGATGATGATGAAGTTGTTGCGATACGTGATGCCGATGCTATTCGAGCCGCTCTGCGCACCATGCAACGCCAGATCTATCTCATCGTCAGCAACTTTTCCAACGTCGTCACAGTCGTATACATACATTCTGGCAGGAAGTTTGCATACAGTGGTGATGCAAGACCAATCATGCCCCATACGAGGATGATGAGGCTGGTGCTATAGGCAACCTTCTTGGTGGAGAAGAGAGCTCGAATGTGCTTGAGACCACCGGGTCGGAATTGTGCAAAAGTGCGTTTCCAGGTGTTGGGCCTCTTTACAGCTGCAGGATGGCCGACGGTCGCATAGTCTCTCTCGACTTGCAACAGATCCTCGACAGTCAGGGGCTGTGTGGTGCCATTGTACTTTGCGACATCGTTGAGCACATCAATGGCTTCCTGGTACCGTCCTTGACCGATCAGATAGCGTGGACTTTCACGGAGTCGGAAGAAGACGAAGCGAGCAAAGAAAGCGGCCAAAGTGATGCCACCCATGGTGTACATCAGATACCTCCAGCCCATGTTGTCCTTCTTATGGCATTGACCAACAGGTGTGTCGGCGCTGCAAGAGAAGTTGGGAAGAAAGCCCCAGGCTGCACCTGCTGGGATGGCTTGACCGATTGACCACCAAACGGCCAAAATCTCGAGCAGATACTGGTGAGTCCCTGGAAGGAATTCAAGGAAGACGGCAGAATCGACAGGTACTGCGAAGTCAGCGGACGACTTTTTGGATTCAGGCTTCTGGACGTACAGTTTCCTCCAACACCAAACCCGCACAGGGCGACGAGAACAGCACAGGACACAAAGCTGTTGGCAGCTCCTGCAGCGGTGCCAAAGACCCCAGCAATGAGCAGAGTCAGATTGAATGCCAGTGTTCTACCGATCAAATCACCTGCCACAGTCAGAACATGAAGTGGATTCTGGCTGAAATATCTCACTTCCAAGTCCCCAGAAAGTTGCACCAACAACCAATCCAGCGATCAAAGCAAGGGACAAAAATGCCGAATGCTTTGGCGTGAACTCAACAGCCACTTGGGCAAGGGCGTCCGAGACGGTCGTTTGCCAGAGCTTGAGACAATCAGCTGGCGCTATGTGGGAGAGAAGTCTCGAATACTTACTTGATCACACAGCCAACCGTACCCGCAGAGGAAGAACAGTGCCCATTGGTACTAGAAACGTCAACTCGCTTCAACCTGGTGGGCATTCACTTGGTGTTACCTTTCCCATGCCAATGCACTGAACGGCATGGTTCACGAGCCGAGCTTGGTGCTCAAAGACTGGGTCGAGACCGTCCACATGCAGTGACTTGAGCTCTCGAATGGAGCCCACTTCGGGTGCCTCCTCCGAGACTGGACTGGCAGTGCCAACATTGGTGTCTTTGTCTGTACCCATGGTCTGCCTTGTTGTCAATCAAGCCGAAGTACTGAACTTGGGAGAAGTCAGAGACGTGCACGGTGGAAACAAGCCATTCTTTTGTAGTGACAGGCGAGGTTGAGATCCCCATGTTTGACTTTCGGTACTATCATATCTGCCTTGATAGGCCCACGGAACGCTAGCCCCGGCTCCATATCCAACATTGTGATAGACATGGGGGGCGTGGATAGTGTGGGCTTTTGGCATAGAACGGGAGGAACCAGCCATCCGGTTGCCCGCTGACGGTCAAATCTGCATATCCTCATTGGAGAGACAGCCAACGCTCCTCAAGATAGGGAATCGGCCGGGGAATGGAGAGACTATCACGGGCAAGAAGACTCGGCGAAGGAGCTTATCTGACGCCACGAGGGAGACTTTGAGAAGACCGAAGGAGCTTAGCGCAGCCACCGATGAAGGAGGAGATGCCCGCTACATCGATCTCGGTTCGCCGTCTGCTTGCCCGTCCATATACAATTGTCCTTTGCCTCCACCACCCCATCCGGCGAGCAGGTCGAAAAGCTAAACCTGACCTATCTCATGGTAATGAAGCTCCCCGTCGCGATGGACCGAACTCCAAGATCCTGGTGTTTGCGGGATAGACGACGGCCGCGCCACGTTTATAAAATCGAGGTAAGAGAGACTCAAACTCACGAGTCGCAGCATTAACCACTGTATCAAACCACCTGCCCATTATGGCCGCCGAAACCAGCGTTCTTCCCCTGCCGACCGTCGACCATGCATTCGTCAAGGTTGAGCCTCTTCTTTCTAGTCCACCGGGGCCTGTTCGCTTCGACCCTGCCAAACACCTCTGCTTTGAACCTCCCAAAAGCATCATTACCTTGAAAGAGCTGCTTTTGTCGGAGAAAGATGCCATCTCGCCCGTCGCCATTACAGAGCCATTCCCGCTGTTCACCCTTGAAGGTGTCAAGCAGATGCGGGCGGACCTCTTTCGTAAAGAGATTGTGGTCAAGCATGGCGACCGGACCAAGCCGAACTGCTATAAGATGAGGGGATACTCGAAGGATACACCCTTTGTTGATTCCGTATGGCGCAGCAAAGAGGTCATAAAAGCTTGTTCTGATGCTGCTGGGGTCGATCTGGATGTGGTTTTCGACTACGAGATCGCCCATATCAACGTCCAAGTGGACGCTCTGGAGGACGGCATGCCACTAGATGCTGCGCTACCACCTGCCATGCCTCCCAACCAGGCACTGTCAACCCCCCTTCCAGCTGTTGACCAGTCCGAGGAGCTCGCCTCAGTCGGTCGATGGCACACAGACTCGTATCCCTGGGTCTGCGTTTGCATGCTGTCCGACCCATCCAATATGATCGGCGGTGAGACTGGCCTCAGGAAAGGGGACGGTTCTATCGCCAAGATCCGAGGACCTCAAGTTGGCTGGGCCGTGATGATGCAAGGGGGCTGTATCGAGCACATTGCATTGAGAGCTGTCGGAACTGGTGAGCGTGTCACCATGGTTACGTCGTTCCGTCCACGGGACCCGAGTCTGAAGGACGTCAGCAATCTGGGCAACGTCAAGAAGAGCAGTCGCCACGACCAGCTGTTCAAGCAGTGGTCGACGTACCGCCTTGATGTTCTCGAGAAGCGGGCCCGACTGCTGAGAGAACGGATTGAAAAGGGCAACTTCTCTGGAGAGGAGATCGCCAAGCTGGTCGCTCAGTGGAACGACGAACAGATCCCGTACATGAAGCACACCGCAGTCGAGATGGTAGGCCCTGGAAATGAAGGCTCGCAAGATTAAAGCATCAAAATCGATGTCCCAGCAATAGATTATTATGGTTCTAGCTAATCGAGTTTTTCGATGCCTTTAGCAGCGCTGAAGCCGCCTCCGCTAGGATCCCTGCGTCCCCTCCTGGTAACATGATGAAGCTGAATCCCATCTCCACGAGACGAGGAATCGCAGCCTGTGAGCCGAGTATGCCGATCGGCTTTGCCCACTTTTTGCCCACCTGAAGCACTTTCTGCAAGGCTGCCACGTATTCTGGTTCATCCCCCGAGGCGCCCTCGAAGCCGAGCGAGTGTCTCAGGTCGACGGGTCCGATGAAGATGCCGTCTACGCCGTCCGTCCCGACGATGTCCTCGGCGTTGTCTACCGCCTCTTTCGACTCTATCATGGGCAGGATCATCACCTCGGGCGCCCGTTTTCGCTTGTAGTCGGCCACGTCGGGAGGCGCGGGGATTTCGGCAAAGGGCGTTCGAAAGGGACCATAGCTCCTTTGGCCCGTCGGAGGGTAGCGCGCGCGTTTGATGACCCCGTCGACCTCCTGCTTGTTGTTCACCATGGGCACGATGATGCCGCTGGCACCGCTGTCCAGGGCCCATTTGATCCACTCGACGCCGTGGGACGGGATCCGCACGATGGGCGCGCATTCCCCCGCCGACGCCGCCACCGTGGAATGCACCATGGCCGTGATCTCCTGCGCAGAGAGCGGCGAATGCTCCATGTCGATCATCAGCCAGTCGAAGCCGCATTGTGCTAGAATCTGGGCGCTGTACGGGTCGTTGAAGCTGACGAAGGTCCCGACCAAGCGTTGTTTGGCCTGCAGGAGAGAGCGGAACGAAGGCATGGCTGCGGCGGATATACGGGACTTTCTACCGCGGTACTTGCTGGTTCCATGTCAAGCGTGCGCACGCACGAGGATTGTCTGTGGTTATATAGCATTTACCCTTTCCTCCACCTGACTTTAGGAGACGGTGGAGTTGCGCCGTACCTCATACCTTGAGACAGATGCGTTCGGCGGCATTGCGATGGCCACTTACTTGTCCATCCATGAAAATCCCTCTCCCTTCGTCTTATCGACACTTTGTAACGGGCAACAATGCGTTTCTCAAGAGGCGCGGAGATGAGCGATGTTGGCAGAGAAATCTCAATGAAGCCAACACAACACACTCGAGAAACTCAAACGGGAGAGCATTTATAAGGGTGACGGACGCTTCATGCTTCGCAGCGGCTCAATGTTCATGCACCACTTTCTCAGTGGCTTCCTTTTTTTTTCTTAGCTACTGTAGAATAGACTGCGAAAAAGAGGAAAGCATGATTTCAACCCCCCCTCGGTCAAGTGCGCGCCCGCACGCGCGTGAAAAGAGAAGCCCGTCGTCGTTATCAAACCGTCGTGGTCTACTAGCCGCTTTGAGAAAACAATTCCCGCAGGCTTCCCCCCTTCCGCGAAAGAGCCAACAACCTTACACATCTCTCTCCATTCGTTTGGTTCCCCATCTCAGGTTTGTTTTGAAGTCATGCATTGTGTTTGGGACCGTCCAAGGATGCGCCCTGCAGGATCTAAACAATGGACCTGTCCAGCCGCCAGGAAGGTCCGAGGCCGTTCCGCTCGAGGCGCGATAGACCGTGCGACGCCTGTCGAGGACGCAAGATAGCGTGTCGCATCGAGACGTCGCCGCCGTGCGCGTTCTGCGAGAGTCGCGGAAGCACCTGCACGTTCCAGAACGGGCCGAATAACAAGAGACGGCGAGTTTTCTCGCACTCGCATTCTCTGCCAAACAATCATTTCCTGCCGCAGCACCAGCAGCAGGAGCAGCAGCAGCCGCATGAGGGGCGCCTAGCGTCGATCCCCCCTCAGAGCTGGGAGGATTTCAGCGTCGAGGCGTTTGACAGCACCATCTTCGACAGTCTCGATCTTGCCGAGGACGGGAGTCCTCCGTTTCAGAGTCAGGGCCAGAGTCAGAGTCAGAGGTCTCCTCTCCCGCAGCCGTCCGCCTCAGATGGACGAAACGCAAGTACAAGCCCGCGGCACTTCCAGCCGCAGAGCCTGCGTCCGTCTTCCGGGGATGCCAGGTATCACGACTCGGGCACGCTGCACCGATCTCAAATCCCGCCGGATACGGGCCATTTGAACCGGCATGTGATGATGGAGTTGATGAAGGGCGGCAGCAGCACCAATCCGCTCGAAATCTCTCGGATCCGCTTGACAAGCACGCGAGACCACAATGACGACCAGTCGTCCAGCGAGGGTGGTCCTCAGATATTGATGGTGAGAGATGATCCCCCGTTCCTGGTCACCGGCAAGTCGTGCATGGAAGGTGCGTCGTGGCCAGATATCGAGGCTCTGCTCGTGGGGAAGCAGCGCGATGAACTCCTCCGACTGTATTTTCGGTTCGTGCAGCCTTTATTTCCCGTTCTCCAACAGCATGACGGGTTCAACAATGACATTCACTGCGACCCTCCGCAGGACGCGGCCTCGCTCGCTCTGTTTGCATCGGTATACGCCACCGCTCTGCCGTTTGCCATACACAACGACTACCTGAGTGCCACACTGACCGACGCAAACGGTAAACGCGAGCAGCTTTACAGAATCGCGATTGCAGCTTTGCTGGTGGAGGCCAATTCGCCTTCTATTGAAGCCTTGCAAGCGTGTCTGCTTTTGCTGCAGAAAGGCCCGACGATCCAGCACCAGGGGCTGACACCGACGTATTCGTGGCTCGCATCCATCGCCAGCACGATCACCAAGTCACTCGGCCTCCAGTATGATTGCAGCGTGTGGAACATACCCCTGGCAGAGAAACAGCTTCGCACACGACTGTGGTGGGCAACATTCACCATGGACGTCTGGGTCAGCGTGGACTCGCCTGGAGGACGATCGATCGGGCTCGACGACTACGACGTGCCTCTGCCAAAGTCCGCGGACGGCATGTCTGACGACCACGATGCTGGAATGGGACACAGCAACGAGTTTGAGCGGCTTGTCCTTCTAACACACCTCCTGGCCCAGATCCACGGGACGTACTACACGATCCGCGCGGCGAAGCAGACTTCGTCCGACTTATTCAAATCGCTCGAGTTCGCCCGCCCCTTGCGCTCCGCGCTCAGCGACTGCAGACAGAGTCTGAAGGCCGATCTCCCGCTCAACTCTGGCGACGAGACCCCCGGGATGAGCGCATCCGTGCACCTCGCCGCGTGCGTTGTGTCGATCGTTCTCTTCCGCGCGCTTCTACGACCTGTCCAATGCGGCAGCACCAGTGAAAACCCCATAGACAGCAGCTACAAGTCCGCCGCGTCCGCCGTCGTGACCGGCTCGGTCAACTGCGCTAGAGAAGCCGTCGAACTGCTCGAGACCATGGTGAGCCTGATCGGTCCGTGGAACGCGTTTTGGCACTCGTGGTCACAAGGCAACTTTGCCATTGTCAGCACGTTCCTCGTGCAGTTACTCCTCATGACCGAGTCTGGTGGCGCAGCGCGGGCGGAGGTCTGCGAGTTGATTTCACGCTGGAAACGCGCCATTCGCGTCGTGGCCGGGAGTGGTGGCTGGGGGAGTTCGCTGATGGGCATGGCCTTGGGGAGACTGGATTCTCTGCTCAATCAGGCTGGATTGTGATGCGAAGGCGAGGAGGTCGTAAGGTTTGTGAAAGAAGACCACAGGGAGAGATGTGTGTGTGTGTGTGTGTGTGTGTGTGGGCTGTAGGCTGTCGGTCTAGCTATCAGTTAGTTCTTTATCTTTCAGTCTTTATGAGCGAGGAGATTGATTCTCAGCGCATCGAGGTCTTGATGACTCTGCGGTAGTCAGCATTTATAGCCACGTATGCATATACATAGTATCATGCTTGAGTGCGTGCAAAGTTACTGTTCTCCGGAATTATGGATGTTTTGGTGAAAAATTCTCGACAATGTACGCGAGATATAAAAATTGGAACACAATCGCGAGAGCCCACACACACACACACACGGTATGTCAGTGCTCGGTACCTGTACCGCACCTGAGGAGTTGTTAGGATTTGCGGTGCAAGGCTGAGAAAATCAACTAGTGATCGACAAGGCTGACAGAATCAGGAGAGTTATTTCACAAAGTCCCTCGTTGTCCCCCACCACACCAGCTCAAAAAAAAACTCAAGAAAGCCACACTAATTGTTGCACCCACACAACTTTGGGGGGGTATACGTGTCCAATGAATGAAATGAATATACGAGGTACACACTCTTACTCTTCTCTACTGAGTCCGAGTATATGCTCAACACTCTCTACATCCTCTCTCCTCTGCCCCATCCCCCCTCTTTGGGCGATGAACGGTGAGCAGGAACAAAAACAATCAACAGCCGGGATTCCCACCTGGTCACCCACGGTAGTACTGACCGGCCGGGAACAGGCTTAAGTACGGCTGAGCGGACGGGAAGCCCTGCTTTCCTGATCCGATGGTCGATTGCGAGAGAGAAACCACCGAGTTTAGTATATATATGATAGGTAACTTATACACTCTCTACGTTGGGATATGTACATACATACATACACATGATGTATTACATGGATCTCTCTCTCTCTCTCTCTCTGTGTGTGTGTGTGTGTTGTATATTGTGATGCCCCTATTTTTCTCTTTGGATGACTGTCCACTTTATCCGGGGTCTCTCGAGTCCTCTCTCGGTGCGGCGTCAGAGACGTCGGAGACGTGTGTGAGAGGGAAAGGGAAGAACAAAAGCAAGCAAGAGTATAGGTTCATCCCCGGATGGTACATACATACACACATGCGTACGTATGTAGGGTGCTACGCAGGCGGTCTTCGTTACCTCTCAAAGCAGTCCTCATCCAGCTAGCCCACTTGCCTCGTCATGCGCGACGCACGCAGGACAAGAGTCATTGTACCAGTCGACCCAGGTCTCGCGTCTCCTCACACCAGATCCACACAGCCCGATACCTTGCACGGGTGTTACTGTCTCTGTCGCTGTCCCTGCCACCTTCACGCTTCCACTCCCACCTCCCGCGCCCCCTGACGCCCCTAACCGCCGATCGACTTGACTCTTCCGGATCCCGCCACCACTACCGACACCACCAACACCGCCAACACCGACTCCGTGTCGTGGTTGTCGCTGCCCCTGCCGCTCCCGCGCCGTCCTGGACTGGTCGCACTCCATCTCAAAGTACTGGTCTGTCGCAAAGTGAACGCCACACACGCGGCAGTGTTTTCTGGTTGGCGCCGAGATGCACATTTCTCTGTCTCTCTCTCTCTCTCCCTCTCTCTCTTTCTCTCAGTCGCTATCTCTCTGGCTCCTTGTTCCGTGTGGGCTAGATAGGTTGGGTGGGTCGTATCGCTTTGTGTGTGGTGGGTGGCGGAGAATGAGGAGTGGGAGGCGAGAATTGGGTAACGGTCGATGAGTGACGGTCGATCAGCGATGGGTGTAAGAAGCTAGGCAGGTAGATAGGTAGGTATGTAATTGGTAGTTTGGTCGTATGGTTTGTTGGATGGATGGAGTTGATACCGATTTCTCAAACACTCTTTGGTTGGTTGGTTGGTTCGTTCATTCGTTCGTTCGCGAGGCTTGTTGGAAAAAAAGAAGAAGAGAAAATGGATGTTCCAGGTCTATTTATACGCTTATACAAGTGATCTGCCCGACAAAGGGCGGGCGGGAGTGACAGCAACGGTGACGGGGTGGGTGGGTGATACGTGGCGTTGCCTTCACCTACGTACAGACATATCTCATTGTTCACCCCTAGTGTTTGTTTGGTGTTGGTGTTAGTGATTGAAGACGAGGCTGACAAAGAAACAGTCATTGCGGCGTGATGCATAGGTGCTGCAAGTGAGAGAGAATGTCGACTCCATCACTTACCAGCCCTCCCTTGTGTTCAGTGTCACTGTGTGGTGACATACATATATATGACTTCCTGGTTATGTGTCACTCGTTTGGAATGAATCGACGGGAGTCCAGACAAGATGCGGACGTTGGACGCGAGACTACTTGAGTAGCCTGGCGGGTGACATGGGATCACTCTCTGTCCTTGTCGTGTTGGTCCTTCATCATCACATTGCAAAGGCAGCGGGCCACTTGATATCGAAATCGGTGGGCGCAAGGAAACTGGGCGAGGAAAAAGACCCACGAGGCTGACCTACATACACCACACCGCATCACATCGGCTGTGCCTGACTCTGGATGGAACACCACGTCTAGTAAACTCGTGCTTGTCAGATCTCGGTATTCGATATCATTATGTTATTACCATTCTGCGTCTGGTGAACTGTATGTATGTACATCTGGGATCGGTAGGCTCGTGTCATCTCCGCAGAACCTCCTAAAAGTTCTTGCCCGTAAAAGGGCTCTGGACAGAACCAAATCTGCAGCACGAAAATTAGCACAGCGCTCAGGCGACACTCACACACAAAACTCACCCTTGCGGACATTGTCTCCCCAAAGCCACACTCCCGCTCCGCATGTAGCAGACCTTGGCCTCGGCACAGGCGTTGTTGGTGCAGTTGGGGCTCATGACGCTCATCTTCCCCTGCAACGTGTTCTGGATGCTCACCAGCGTGTGGTTCGTTGCCATGGCCTCGGTGACCTTTTGCCAGTATGTCGCGTTGAGGGGCGCATCTTCGGGCCATCCAACCTGGTATGTGTCCCTGGTGGAGTACTCAAAACTCCAGACGGGACCTGTTTGAGAGGCGTTGAGGGTTTGAAAGGCGCTCACGTTGGCGAAGTAGGTGTAGGCGTTGTAGACGGAGAAATCTCCCGTGTCAACCTCGTACATGCGATAGCCTGAATTCAGGTTGGTCAGAGGGGTTACGCTCGGGCCCATCCAACCGACGTTGACGGCATGGGCAGCATCTTGTGTGGTGCCGTTGTTGCTGTAGTAGATCATGAACTGGTCTTCATGAGTGTGGCCGAAGAAGACACCGGCAATAACATGTGGAGAATATCGATCGACAATCTGGTAGAAAAGATCTGCAAAGCAGTTAAGCAAGCACCCATTAAAGTCATCCATTTCCTCGTCCGATAAGCTCCCATTTCGACTTACCTGTAGGGTTGGGAAGCGGGTTAGAACCATCCCAGCCCGACAAGACGTGGCCCAACAACCAGACTCGTTCACCTTTGGCCTCGGCATCCGCAAGCTCTTGCGCCACAAACTTGAACATCCCACTGTTGTCCGGATCCGTGGTGTTGCTGCCTAGACGTGAGAACTCTCTTCATCAGGTGGGAGGGTCTGCCTACATGTAGTTCAAGAGGTTGCTCCGGTACCAGAAGTCGGTGTTGAAGGTAATGATCCTCAACTGTGGGTATTTTGGGTGGTTGATGCTGTAGGCGCCATAGTGCATGCGAGCCTCGTTTGCGGCCTCGGCACTAATCCAGTTGTTCTGCTGCCAGAGCGAAGAGACGTGGTTCCAGTTCCACGACCTGCTCTCGAGTTAGAGACGTCCGGAAGTAGCGCAACGACTTACTGTTGCTGGCCAAGATTTCCTGGCAGGCTGTGCGGAGAATCGATACCATCTACATCACCCCTATCAGCCATGTCTCCCGCCAACGCGCGGGACTGTGCTTACCCGGGTTGCTGTCGTGATTCCCAAGCACGGCAAAGATGGGCCCGCTAGGAATATAAGACTTGATCATATGGTAGATCGAGGTCTCGGCATATTGGGTGTAGTTGTTGGACAGTTCATTCTGGGATTCGTGAGACACCAAATCGCCCGTGTATATCCCCCAAGCGAATTGGTCATTGTCGGACTGGTTGTGCCACGTGGTGCCTGTCAGGGGTGCGATCGACTCCAAGGCAGAGGTCAGAAGGAAGTAAGGGCTGTCGCATTTGAACGCGCCGTATAATGGTGAAGGAATCTCCAAGTGACCCGAAGCACTCTTTGGGTTATTGGAACGGCAACACAACCCACTTGAACAATTTGCTTCGGAACCGACGGCGTATCTTGGATCGATGTGCATGTCACTCAAATGGATGACTTTGACTCTTTTGCCGCTGGGTTTGGGTACAGTGATATTGGCAGGCTTGGGGCCGAAGAACTCGGTGGTATTGGAGGGAAGAGTGAACGGGCGAGGGCAGAAGTTGCCGCTCAAAAAGTTGCACAGATACTGCCCATCGGATCCAGCCATATCACCCAGGGCGAGTATCTGGGTGTAGATAGCGCCAAAGTTTTCAGCATCGTAATTTTCATGACAACTCGTGTTGGACATGAACCCGCTGCTTATGCACAACTGCACCAGCAGATCCGGGACCATCGTAGGCACCCGCTGAGCCACATATTGGCCGACTTCCAACGCCGAGAGACATTTGGAGCAATTTGACGCGTCTGTTGTAAGAATAGAATTGACTTGGCTGATAGCATTGGCCACAATCGCACTCCCGTTGGTGACCGCAAAGAGGGGAGTTGGATAGAAGACGGGATCTTCGCTCTCCTCTGGGATGTTGGTCTGGTTTGTCAATTCAAGGGGGAAAGCTGTCTTGTTGTCAGCATCAAAGAGGATCATTCAGGGAAGACTCTGATGGCATAGTATGAGCGTATGGTGTTCTCGGGGACTCACTGTAGTTTAGTGTCGGATCAAAAAGGACGGGTTGGGGCTGAAAGGCGGTTTGTCAGCAGAAGTCCGAGAGAAATCTCTGAGTGTACAAGACACTTGCCTCTTGAGTCGGTGATGGGGGAATATAGTACGAGGGAAATAGACTGGTAGGGAAACCGGCAGGGACAGTATAAGCCAGGAGTTGAGAACTGGAGCCTTGGGCATATGCGAGGGGACAGGAGAGCAAAGGCAATGCCAGAGCCAGCGACATACAGCGACACAGCATCGTGGGCAGAGCTGGTGACAGATATGAATCAAGCAGAATAAATTATCTCAACCTACCGTGAGAGTCTCTGGCAAACCAAGCAGAGGGAGGTAAAGGCTTTCTCCCAGGATGCTCAGCCTTTTTATCGCCGCAACGTTGAACGCTTTTGCTCAGACATGAGTAGCAGTTGGGCCAAGCTTGGAGCTCTCCCGAGCTGTTGGCAAGCTTGATCGAGAAAATGATGGCTTCAGACCAATAATATCGACAGTTGAAGGCAGAAGCAAGTGAAGCTTCGACAAAGATGTAAAGTGGATGAAGTGGATGAATTGATGCCAATGATGGCAATGATTCCCTGCCACGGGCTGCCAAGGTTTCACCAATTGAAGAGGCGCTGAGGCTGCACGTGTCGGTCTAGCATGTCGTCCTACTCGAAGACTGCATAACACGTACAAGGATACAAGGCAACAAGGGACCAAGTCCATCATCCTCCACCGGCAGCCAGCCGGTAAAGGAAACTTGTTGCTGTAACCGAACCACATGTCCAGGGTTGGTCTGTAAAGATTCCACCGATCCCGATCCCTTCAGTTACTATCTATTCTTGTATGTGTGTACAAGGGTTATACTCCCGTAGGTGCCGAACCAGACCCAAGAACATGTAACGACATGTAA